AGAACTTAGATTAACCTCAAATTTAAGATTATAAGATCAAATGTAATAAAACTAGAAAATGCATGTAAGTAACTTGTAACGTACTAATGAAAAGTCTTGCTTTTAAACCACAAACTTATTATAATTTTATTGGCTTTAATATTAAATACTCGTATACGTAATTAAAAAATTTTATTCAATTTCATTTCGATTTCAATTTTCAGTAATAACCTTTAGTTCATTAAAATTTACGTTATTTTTGAAATTATGTAAAATCATAAACTTTTAGTATTTTTAGGGTGTTTTATAATATTTGTATAGTCGGAAATGTCAAAAACTTCACGTTTTATGCAAACCTTGTATGTAAAGAAAGTGATTTAGGACAGCATTTACGCAAATTTTACATTTATTCCCGTAAATGATTTTATATGGTTTAAATAAAAATAAACGTGAAATTTTCAATATTTAGGCTTATAAATTTATTTTTAGCTCCTATGTATGCTTAGAATGGTTTCCACATAAGAGGCCTCATATTTAAAAAACTACTCTGGAGTACTTTAATGTTTTATGTACATGTACAGGGTGTCTCGTATCAAAGTGCGTTGCTATATACCATTGTATGGTCCTTAATGAGTAGAAAAAACTTTTGTATGGAGACAATGTTTACAGCCCAGCCGGTTTATTGTACGAGTATATTGTAATAAAAATATTAAAATTCTGATTTTTTATCAAAATAACGATTCTTAAAAATGTCAACTGTTTTTTAGAATGATATTGCGATAAAAAATTAATAGTAGGCGATAAATATAGCTTTTAAAATCAATAAAAATCAAAAATAATGACAATTTTTTTTGGATTTTAAGGCCTTTAAAATCTTGACATAGAAATGGTTTTCGTGCTAAATCTTCTGTGCCATAAAAGATTTTCCAACATTTAGTGACTTAAATTAAAGCTGGGGAGAGTGGCCAAAATTATGTAAAAAAAATGTCGATATTTCAAAAAATAAAAGAAGGATTTTGCCCAAAATTCGATTATTTTAAGCCCTTTACTAGGCCTTTTAGAAACTGTTTGGTTGAAGCTCCTATCTTTTTCGGAACGCACGTTATAATCAAAAACACTTGGATAAGTGGAAATTTTGTTTTTAGAAAATTCGCTAAAATCCCTGTACTTATCTCGGAAACCTTTGAGATTTCGCATTTAGCCCGGAACAAAAGTTTTACCTATTTTCGACCCTCTAACCAATGGTATATGTTGTTGTATATCTTTTTGACTCACCCAGTATATGTATATATAATAGAATGAAAACATTGATTTCGTACATATAAGAGCTCAGGTTCAGTTTAAGCTCTTTAATGAACTGAGATGAAAAAAGGAGAATTATAATCAAAGACTATTCTCATAAAAATAATTTAATAGCTTATTTTATTTGTTTATAATATACTATTAAAACATTACAAACTCACACATTCAAATTAAGTAATTTAATTTTTATTTGTACAAAAGCAATAAAATTAAATTGACTAACCACTTCCATCTTTATGTTTTTGTTTTTCTTTTAATTTTCAATCGCAATTCTTCTCTTTTTCACATTTCCTGATTTGGATACATTATAAAATAATAAATTTATTACAATAGTAATATAGTTAATATTGGGATTGTAATTTTGCCCCTTCATGCACATCTCATATACTATATTCATACACGTATAATATATCTATAACCTATAAGTTTAATATAAATCTGACAATATAAACCAACAATTTTATGAACTTTTAAAATTGGTAATAAAAATTTTTAAATGAATTTGTTTTTCAACCTATTAAGTATAAATAAAATATTATTGTTCTTTATTTGTTCACTTTACTTTTATTTTGTTATATTCCGACATAGGAACATGGAGTATGGTATTACAAATTTATAATCAACGTGCAAATATGATAATAAAAAATGTATGCGAGAATTGGAATCAGCATAAATCATAATGGCAACTGTATAATACACACAGTATATATGTATGTGAGTGAGTACTTATTAATACATGTCTGTATACATAAAAAAATTAAGTATATATTATTTAAGGAAATATAATAAATATATTTTTATATTATACTTACTATTAAAACTAAAAATTTTATAAAATGAAAAATTTGCATTGACAATGATACTTCATACTTAGATCGTTATCAGTTTACTTAAAAATATCTAAAGTTTTAGATAATTTTAAGTAAATAAAGGATATTGTTAAACTCATATATGAAAATAGTAATTTAATGATAAACAAAGATAGTTTTGGAAACTACTTAAGTTCTTTATACTTAATTGTAATTTAATATTTTTATTATATTTATTCAAATTGATTAGGGACGAAATTGTTTCTTTTTTAAAATATGATTGCATTGTATTATCAACAATTCACATATGTAAATTTGTAAGTAAATTTGTAAAACAAGCAAGTAATTAGTTTTTCTAAATTCTTTTTACTAATTAGAGCAACGTAATATACATATCTACTTATATATACATATGAAATTAATTTTTGAGAATTTTTTTGCATAGCACAAATAACATAACAGTACCGGGCTAGTGATTATATATTGTTGAAACCCATTATGAATTAGCAATCAATCACATTGCGCAAAGCGTACAAACTAAAATTTTTATCAATTTCAATTTTTATTATTTAATTACTGAAACCTTAAAGGTATTACCTATTATATTTGCAGTCACCTTCATATTAAACAATAATTGTATAATTTAAGGTCGTACAATTATTTAATTTATGCGTGCTGATCACACAATTAGTATTATTGCTTAAAAACTTTTGGTGTAATTGGAGTTAGAAAATCTTATTACTAATATTTTTAAAATACATTCATCAAAATAAACTTATTAATATTTCAATTAAATTCTTAAGTAAACTGATTCGCAAAATCGATCAAATAAGTGTCTTTATAATTCTACAATAAAATACTGCCATACGAAGCACATTTTTTGATTATTTCATTTTTGTAAGCATAATTGTTTTGCCACATAGCAGTCAGTTTATTGAACTGAAATTCATTTTACAATTTAACTGTAATATTTATTACACAATATTTTACTCAATTTCTATAAATACAATTAAAATTCGCCCTTTATGTACTTAACTTTTTTTTTCGAAAGATTTTTATATTTGAAAGGTAACCCTCAAAAAAAGCTACATACTTAGCCCATAAGTTTAAAAATATTTTTTCTTTTGGAATTTATAAAATGTGTCGTAGAAAATTTTTATATTGTCTTATGTTTCAGGCGGATTTGTGGTTTTCTTAGCTAAAAATATATTTGGTGATTCTATTTTACTGTTTATTTTAATTTACCTATTTATTCTTGTTTCATAGTTTAAAATATAATTTTATTAAAATTAGATTTTATAAATAAAATGGCTATGAGATTCTTAAAACTTTTTTATACCATTTTGAAATTCTAATAAAAGTTCCAGTTTAAGTTATTTAGCCTAATTAAATATTTTAGAATAAGTAAGACTTGATATATATACATATATTATATTGATTGATTCATATACAATCTCATATAAATTTTACATTTAAAAAGTGATTCATAATTTTTATTCGGATACACATATAAGTACATATATTTTACTCGGAATTCAAATTAAAAAATTTATTTTTTAAATATGTAAATTAAAGTTCTAAACAAAAATTATTATAAAAGCTACCTATGAAAAAAAAACGAAAATATCATGTGACTTTAAACCACCTTGAAGATTATTTAATTAAAAACTTGTTCAAAAATCGCAAATAGTGGAAGAAAATAAAAAAATATTTCTAGGCTTACTTAATAATGAGTATATTTAATATGTGTAAACACAAACGTATCTAATTAAATGCTTATTTATTCAAAATATTTAGAAATCTCATAGGAACTAAGTAAGCTTCTTACTACCTATTCATTAAAACACTTAATCAGCCTAGGTCTTGATTTTTTATACCTCTATTTAATTGATAAATTTCAAATAATTTTAATTTTCAATAATTTTAATTTTTAATCAAACTATAAATTGCAACGAAGCTCTTTTCTTGTGCTATGAAATTTTATTCGTCTAACGGTGTTCTTTTTTTCTTGCAATTCAGTCTATAAATTTCAGTCTATAAGTTCTCAAAGATTCTCATAAAGATTTTAAAATTTATATAATTAACCTGCTTAATTAGTAGAGTTGGTTAAAATGTTTAATGTTACATATGAACGTGGGTACATATTTAAAAACGCACATAATGAATAATAAGTGTAAGTTTAAGGACTAACTTATGCATCTAAATTCAACTAATCATAATCATATATGCAATAAACTTGATATACTCAAAAACATTAAATAAAAAAAGGAAAATACTAATTGAAATGAAATAAGATTCACTTTCACACAAAAATCAATTGCAAGTGAAAAAAAATATAACCGGTTTCATGGCTTTTTTCCAAATAAGTAGTTAACGATTGTTATTTTTAACCGGCATGTTGTATGTATGTACATTTTCATATGGAGACTTAAATTGCAAGGAAAAATATTTTTATATACTGACTGATTTCAATAAAACTTTGAACCACCAAAATAATTTGGAAATTTTTAAGTTTGCATACAAACACGTAACAGCTGTAATTTATTCGAATTATTTTTTAATGACTATAATAATAAGCATTAATTTTTAACTTTTTTTAAAAGGACAAAATCGATCATGTCGAACAAATAAAAACAATTTTCTAATACAAGTATATACATACATATGTACATACTATGTTGATGTAAAGTGGACACCCAAACTATGTTCCACCTACTTGCAAAAATATCACATTATATGCAATTTGAACCTTAACCAACAAAAATTTATGACCTTTGCCAATGTATTTAAAAGTTCAAGGCTTAAAAAAGGATGTTATTGTTGATTGAGATTTTATAAAACATAAAAGAAAATGGATAAAATTACATATTATGTATTTATAAAAATTTAAATTAATTTATTGTAACTTACTTATTAAATGTTGCCTGGTAATCCTTTATTTGTTTTCGGCTAAATTCATGAAATTCTGTATAAACATTAACAACTTTGAACTTTTGTTGAGGTTTAACTTCCTCTCCGTTCTCTAAAGCTTCATTTATTTTTTGGCGCCGATTTAAAATATTACTTAATTCTGAATCCGCAGACATTATTTTATTAATTATTTGTTTTATTAATTTTCAAAAAAAAAGGGAGTTGAACTGAGAAGTATTGAAAAAAATTTCTCTCTAAAATCAATCGATAAAAATCTTTCTGTATATCAGAATTATCTCCGTAAGGAATTTTTCTACCTTTTGAGTATATTTTTTATTCACAATATTTACTTATTACTTATTAGTATATATTTGTTTATTGGTTTTTTACAATTATTTACAGGTGCATTGAACTTTTAAAATTTAAAAAAAAAAGATTAACAAATAAGGACAATAGTAAAATTTTGAACATTCAAGTAAAATAACAATAATTCACTTGCACTATTTTTACAAAACAACCGTAGTAACCACACTAATATTATTCACTTTTCAACGGCTAAATTTATACTAGTGTTTTTTCTTTAGATTCAAAATTTTGTGTTGAGTTGAGTTTATGAAAGAAAATTTTATTTGTTTTCATTTTAATTTTTATTTTTCTATTTTTGACATTCCGTTTTCAATGTTTTGTTTTTTTTTATTTATTCGTCAATCGTCTCGTAAATTCATCAGGCAACAATAAAATTAAATATTTTGACAATCCATCTACTGGTAATAGTGCAAAACTGTATATTACATCTTTTGTTGGAATGCAAAGTTTTGTAATTTATGATTAATTGAGTTTGATGAAAATCATAAAAATTGCACGTCTACACGTTTTAATATAAACTAATGGAACAAGAATAAGCTATCAAACAATTGCCAAACCATAATTTGCATGTTTGCGATGGTCCTAAAAAGAATTTTAGTTTCAAGTACACTCATTTGTTTTATTTTAAATAAAAAAAAACTCAAAATAACAATCTTGTATTATTAAATATATAGAAAGCATCAAATTATTTTATAATTGGACAATCACTAATATATAAGAACGAATTTCATAGTAAACTGCATAATTAGTATTAATGCATTTGCCGTTATAATCCCTTTTATAATAATTCGTATATTTAAATAATATGATTTTCTTTTGCATAATTAAAATTTAAGTTGGTTTTGAAAATTTAGTAAACATTTGATAAAATTTACGCAATTGCAATTTTAAAAAATTCAATATATACAAATTTTTGCTAAATACTTAACTACATTAACATAATATTAATTTTAGAAAAAGTTTGTATGGCAATGTGGTAACAGGCAACCCACGGGTTTGACATCAGTATGTTATACATATAAAAAATTATTCGATTCTCGTGAAATGTCAATCATTTTTGCGCCAATAATGTCAAGCCTGGGTAGGTAATGTATTATAATAGAAAGAAATCAGAAGGATATATTTTTAGTTGGTGTTCGGTACGGATTTTTGGAGTTTACTTGTAGTTTGTAGATGGTGGAATAGTATACATATTTATTTAAAAAGTTAATAAATAACTAGAATTTTTAATAAAAATCTAATTGTTTAAAGTTATTTATTTTTACTATAGTCTACATATTGTATTTTTTTCGTCGTATATATTTTTTAAATGTGAGTACCAAGTTATACATACATACGTATAATTTTATGTTATATCTGTAATGAGTTATTGATTTTAGCATGTTCTGTGAAAATCAATTCAGTTATAATTTCTATTCAAATATGTAATTTTTCATCTCTGTTTAAAAAAAAAAGAAAAAACGTGTTTTGTAGGTCAAACCCAATTTTTATTTCCATATAATTTCCTGTCAGTAAAACAAATTTATTTTTGTTGAAAATTAATGTATGAACTTTTGTAATATTATGCCTAAATATTAATAAAAATTCTATGACAAATTGTAATAAAATAAGTTATAGAATTTTTTTCTACTTTAGGTTAGTGATGATAGAAAATATTATTAATAAAATTATTTCAATATTAATTCTTTGATGACTATTATGTTTTTAGAATATTTTTTTATTTTTATTCACATATCGTCATACATATTATTTATGCACATGTCTTGTAGATATTTTTAGGGACTGCGTGTAATAAGTTAGTGGAATTTTCGTTGATTAGATTTAAAACTTCAAGAGGTTACTGAAAGTATCTGCACATGTTTTATAAGGGTATATATATATATATATACCCTTATAACAATTAAATACAATCAGAGGTATTTTAATTCAGAAGATCCTTGACATGAATTTTCTTAGAAAAAGAAAAGAACAAAAAAAAATGTAGAATTAAAAAGTAAAGCCTGCAAAGAAACTTAAAATAAGTATCTAACTAGGTATGCCTACCAATCTATAATTGTGTGTTATGAGAAAACAAAAGTTTTGAAATGTGAAATTTTCTTGTACAGAATAACAAGAAAGAAAACGTTTGGAGAAATGTTCCTGTTTAAAGATATAATTTTTATAACCTTTTTATAATGTTTTGCAATTTTCTTAGAATTAACCTATAACTGGAAATGATCTGCCATGTGCAGAATTAAAGTCTTACTTTTTAATAGTTTCTTTTTTTACTTTTTGGTAAGCTTCCCTTTCTTTAAACAATTTTTTCTTTTTAATACTAGTTTATGTAATATAGGTAATTAGTTATGCACAACAACTTATTTCCATAATTTCTATTTTGATTAAGTACTTATCAATTAATTGATTACCTACCTACCTCACTACTTAATTAGAAACTCAATTAACAAACAAATTCCTAAAAATTTTTGTTAAATTTTTTTTTGTTTTTTGTGTTATGCATGAATAAATTTAAATAATTTTCAGTTTTCGTAAAAATAAACAGAAAAAATACAGAAAAAATTTATTTAAAATTTGGAAAGTAATCTATTTTTCTAATAATAAACCCTGCATTAATTTTCTTTTGCGAGATGTGTCCTTCAATTTTATAAGTATATTCACACTTACATAATGTCCTTGAACCATTTAAGTACACACATTAGTGTCTACTTGGTATTAAAATAAGATACATAATATATATACATTTTTTATCCTTGAACTTTATATTCTTATCACTAAACATATATTTTTGATTTCGTCCTGTTACAAATGTTTTAAGCACACGTCAATCAAATATTCTTTGTTTATTTTTATATTAAATAAAATTCTAAAAGGGGTGGTAAAATAAAACTGTAATCAAAAATAGCTTAAAATTCAAATAAAAAATCGATATAAATAATTAAAATTTTTATAAATAAATAATGATTAAAATATTATGCTTTATTTTTTTATAAAATTGGTTATTATTTTATTCTTTTTAAAAAACAAGCATGAAATTAAATCTAAAACGAGCAAATAAAAAAAAACTTCCAAGTATTTAAAACCGAAATTTCTATGTGTATCTTTTATGAATGTTGCATAAATATTAATATGGGTTTTTCATGAAGATAAAGGAAAAAAAGATTTCAAACTTATTTTTCTTTTTTTCAATATTTTTTTTATGAAAAGTGCTTAAGGGTAACATCATTCGAAATATAATTTTAAAACAATCATGAAGTCATAAAAGACGCTTATAACGATTAAAAAATCAGAAAAATGGATTATAACAGTTTTCGGCCAACAATTAGAAGACCTAGATCAACATCATTATATGGTTTATCTGATCACTGTTATGATACAACCAGGAGTCGAGCATACAGTTATGAAGAAAAAGCACCAGTTAATTTTGGAAGACAATACAATTAGTAATTTTATAAGAAATATAATATTTTTTACAGACTATCTTTATACCCTTAAAATTTTAAGAAGTTTTGTATCTAAACAAATTTGTTAAGTAATGTTTTAGTTTTACAGACTTTTTTTGAATTACTCTTAAATACATTATTTATTATAATTTAATGTTACTTTAAATTACTTTTGTAGCATATACTACAGTAAAAATGACGAAATACAGATCTGTTTAACACCCTTCACATTCTTATTCTTAAATTATGTTAATATATATTTATCAAACTTTGACAAGGCCATTAATAATTTTATATCAATATTTTATTCTAAGTTTGAACAAATTTAATCTGAAGTATTTTTCTAATTTTCAAAACATATACGATTTATACATATATAAATTGATTAATACAAATCAAATAATTTAAAAAAATGAAGCTGGTTTGAAATAATATTTTTATTTCCAATACTGTTTCTAAAAAAATTTTTGTGTTTTATTTTTTCATTTCTAGTTTTTATGAAACCGAAGAAAGATACGCGGCAGACTATTTTTATCCTTATGAGAAAATGGCCTCTTTATTAGAAAAATCACCAACAACAAAAGGAAATGATACGAACGGTTCAATTTCAAGTGCAAGCGTAATGAACGATAAAATTCATCATAAGGATTTGCAATTTTCTTCAATATTACGAGAAAAAATTTCAAATAAAGATAAAACACAACTACTAGTTGATAATGAAGAAAATTCTTGGTTATATGATGTGGATATATTTAGAGAAAAATTAAAGAATCAACATTTTAATACTGCCAGTAATATTAGTTGTCATAATGGTAATGGATTTTACAATAATTCTCAAAATTTTTCTTATTTGCAACATAATAAAATCGAACAAGAATACTCTGATTCTTGTTATCAGCGACCTGTAGAGAAAACTCTAAATTTAAATTATGAAAACAAATTTCAAACGCGTAGTGAATCGGAACCTAACAATATTAGTGAGTTAAGATTTTCGCCATCTACTATTAAAATTAGTAATAATTTGATAAATGAACATAGAAGTAATGCCTCCAAAAAGCTTCCACCAACACCTCTCCAACAATATAGAATACGTGGTGCCGCCCAAGATTACTCGTTAAATCAAAATCAAATCAATAATAAAAATGAGTATGTTAAATTTTTTTCAATAAGCAAACGTTTCATTTTACTTATTTAATATTTTTTACAGTAACAAGCGAACTTCACCACCGAAAGTTTTAATATATAATAATAGTCAAACCCCTAGATCACCAAAAACGAAGAAGTCATTGATAAATTCTAGATCATCTGCCAGGGTTCCACAAACGGCGCGACCTTCATCGAAAAATCTCAATGAATTTAGAAGATGTAGAACTAAATCGCCATCACCAACCTTTACCCGGAATGTGCAAAAACGTTTTGATAGCGATGATAATAATATTGGTTTCAAATCAATGCGTAAAGCAAAATCAGCAACTCCTCCACCGAGGACTTTTGAACAGTTTTCTAATGCTGTTTTACCTATGCCAAAATCAGAAATTATAGTTCCATTTAATAATAACAATTTAGGAAAATCACATAAATCGAAAATTTCTAATAAAATAGTTGTAGAAAATTGTTCAAATTTTGAACACGAAAGATTTAGCTCTTCAACAGATAAGGAAAAAAAAATTGGACATGAACACCAGATCAATGATGAAGACGATGATAACGAAAGTTGTTATGAAGATGAGGAATATGAATTAAACGATGATTATATTGAATCATCATCTGATTCAGAAGATGGTTATAGCGGACATGCTTTCTCTAGATCTGAAAAATCAGAATCGCCGATTTTACCTGAAAATCAAATTTCCATACCTTCAGTACCAGAATCTGTACTCGTGCCTAGTTTATTCCCAAATATTCCACCATATTTGTCATTTGCGACAAATTTAGAAAAAGGTCCACCTGTACCCCCAGAACTTCATAAAGTATTGAAATGGAAATTGTCAAAAGTTATGCCAAAAGTGGTTCGTTACACATTAGTTAATTCAGGCTGCCGTGTCTTAAAAAGTAAGTAATATATAATAAATTGTATAAGAAAAACACAAATTTATTAATTTTTTGAAAATTATTTTATTAGAAACAAATGAGTGGATGGGAACATGGGGAAAACATATGAAAAGCCCATGTTTCAGAACAATCAGACCTTATCAAAAAATGAATCATTTACCTGGGTCATTTAAGATTGGGCGTAAGGACTCATGTTGGAAAAATTTACAAAAACAAGTTAACCGTCACGGAAAAAAGGAATTTGGGTTCATGCCAAAGTAATTGTCTTTAACCGAAATTTCCTACTTGACTATTTTAATTAATTTTTTTTTTTTTTTTTAGAACATATATTTTTCCCCACGATATAAACATTTTAAGGAAAACGTGGCCTAAATATCAGCAGCGTAATATTCGATGGATTATTAAGCCGCCAGCTAGTGCTCGAGGCACCGGCATCAGAGTAGTATTTGCATGGTCTCAAATTCCAAAAAGAAAACCACTAATTGTTCAAAGATATATAGAACGTCCGTTATTGATTAATGGAAGCAAATTTGATATCAGATTATATGTTTTAGTTACTTCAATAAATCCTCTTCGGGTGTATATGTACAAAGACGGTTTGGCTCGTTTCGCCTCAGGTAATTTACTATTTATGAGCATATTATAAAACTTATTGCTTTAAAATTATTTTGCAGTAAAATATAGCATGAAAGCAGAAACTTTACATGATCGCTGTATGCATTTAACAAATTATAGTATAAATAAACATTCAACAAACTATGCTAAGAATGAAGATGTTAACGCATGTGACGGTCATAAATGGACACTGAAATCTTTAATGACATATTTATCAAATACCGGAACTGATATATCTACACTATGGGTTACAATGAAAAATTTGGTTCTGCGCACTTTACTAGCTGGCGAAGAAGGAATCAATAACATGGTTAAAATCAATACTGGCAGTAGATATAATACGTTTGAGTTGTTTGGTTTTGATATATTGTTAGATTCAAACTTGGTACCTTGGTTATTAGAAGTAAATATTTCACCTTCTTTGCATTCGGATTTGCCATTAGATATGCATGTTAAAGGTCCTTTAGTTCAAGCTGTTTTAAATACAGCATTATATCATGTAAGTTTTCTGTTTTCTTTTGTATCTATTAATCATTAAAAAATATTTAATTTAAAAAGGTGCCCCCAAAGCTATCTTCCGAAAAACAAAAAGAGATTTGTGTTAAAACTGGAGTTAAAGGACCTCTTTGCTACGATAAGAGACTATATGTAACTTATTTATCTCGCACAGAAAAAATTAAACATAACCAATTTACAAGAAAAGATCTAGAAGATCGAGATGAGGTATTTGTAATTCCTGTTAATTTCATATTTATATTACGCAATATATATTTGGTTTGATATTTCAGTACCTGGACACTATTTTAGAAAATTTAACTCCAGATGATGTCCGTTGTTTAATAACATCTGAAGATGAACTAGCACGTTGTCTTCCATTAGAAAGAGTTTTTCCAACAAATAAAACTTATAAATTATTAAAATATACTGAGAGTCCCAGATATTATAATCGCCTCTTAGATGCATGGGAACATCGCTATAGTAACAATCGTAACGCTGGTATCAAACTTTTAAGCGAATTATGTGAAACAAATTATCATTTACAAGTACCGCCCGTACCAGCCCAAAGGGTAAGCCAGTTTAAATCTTATATTTTGTCTAGTAGAACAAAAACACAAACTAGTGAAATAATTAAAAAGAATAAAAAATCCAAAACTTTTAGAAAAGAATATATGTCAATTTCCGAAAACAGTTTTTAATTTTTATCATTTTTAATTTTTTTATTCAATTTTTTGTTTAGTTTTATTTTGTTAATTTAATTTTGTTATATACAAAAATGTCCTAAAAATAATAAAATTATGTAAGTGCACTTATTTTAATTTTTATACGTAATTTTTATATGTATTTTATTTAATTTACATAATATTTCTTTTTTTTTTAATTTACAAAAACAATTGTAAACAAAAAAAAAACATATTCAAATCTTCTAAACAAAAAAAAAACTAAAATTTTATGTAAAAAAATGTTTAAAAAAAAAATATCAAATTACTTTATAATCTGAGGGCTTTTGGCGTGCAATACAAGCTCTTTACTGGCGATGTCGTGCTTTATATTATCGTAAGTTTTTTTTTTTCTTAAATTCTCTTATGATTGAAAAACAAAATATGCCGAAATAATAACCTAATAAAAATAATTCTTATAAATATGAATTATATATAAAATATTAATATTGAACAAGCTTTGATAATAATTTAGGAAAGTACATAATCCAATAATAATGTTTCTAATTTTTTAGAAAATAATTTTGTTTTAGATAGAATTAAAAATTAATGAACTACATACATATATTAATAAATTACTAATCAATAAATTTTAAAATTTTATTTGAGTATAGGTTAATTATATAAACTTATATGTATATATATATATATATATAGTGTAACTATATACATATGTATTATGTATATAGGTAGGTTATAGAAAGGTCATGTATATTATATAATATTAAGCTAGTAAATTTCATTTGAATAGAACATTGAAATAGTAAGAAAAGTAAAAATAATTTAAATAAGTGTGTTAATATTTTTATTTAAAGAGTTATCTTTGATTTATATAAAACAATATTAGTTATGGATATAAAAAAATGAAAGTGTTTTCTAGTGATTTCAACAATTAGAACATATTTATTTTTTAAATTTATGTGTGATTTCGTTATAATGATTATAAAATGTAGTTTTTAAATTGTAAATTGTAATTTTTTTATAATAATTATCGAATAATAATAATACATATAAAAGTAAATAAATATTTTAAAGAAACTAAACTAAACACTAGTATGAAAATTTAATAAACAATTTCAAGATAACATTTTCATTTCAAATTTTATTTTTCATAATTATTATAATGTCCTTTTTCCGTTCCCACTCTTCCTAATTGAAATTGAATTGAAAATACATTATGTATCAACAGAACAGCAGCCCGACTTTATTTCATATCATTTTCGTTTTTTATACTAATAGTAAGAGAAAATATACATTAACAAAAAACTAACATTCTTGGTTATATAATATTTAGTGTCCTTAATTTTATGTTTTTTTAAATACTGTAAATTCATTACAATTTAAAAAAAATCAACATCTTTAGTAACAAGTCAAAAAAACATAACATAAATTCTTGTTTATTAATACTGTGATATAAAACAATTACATACTTAAAATTAATAAATTTTTGTTGGAGAAATTTTTTGAAAATTTTATTTAATCATTTAACTTATTTTTCTTTTCGTAAAAAATAAAGTGGCTTAAAAGAATATTAAAAAATTTAACTTTTCAATATGTATTTTTAAATTAAGTTTTGATTTGTTTTTCTTTTCTGTTTTTTAACCACAGATTGAACTAATTTTATATTTTTTCTGAATTTTCGAAAAACAAAAAAAAATGTTAACTATATTAAATATAAATTTTTGTGATCCACTAACATCATTAAATATTGAATTTGAAAATAAAAGAAAATAAAAACTCCCAGCCAAATATGCTTTTATAATAACAATATAAATAAAACTGTCAATGTTAAAATGGTTACATTTTCAAAATGCAAATAAATTATAAAAATGAATTAATTATTTACAATATGAAAATTCATATTTTTATCTTCTCTATATTCTTTGCCATGTCATTTTTACAGGAATTCTACATCATCAAATTTTTGAAGTGGATTTTGAAAACATAATTGAAGCTGTATCTTTATTAATTTTTACTGTTTTCTTAATAAACAATTTTACTAAACTTTGAAAATAAAGAAAAAAAAAAGAGAAATAATAATAAAACAAAATTACTTATTACAATTATAAATAAAAAAAATATAGCGAAAATCAATTAAAATAATTTGCTGAATCAATCATTTAAAAAAAAAATCAAATCAATTAAATATTTTTAACCTTTTTAAAAATACTAAAATCTTAAATATTAAAAAAAAAATTGTAGAAAAATTTTAAAAATACATAAATAGTAAAATTATTTTGATCAAAATTTTAAACGATAGCCGAGACTATTTTTTTATTAAGTTTTTTGAAAATAAAAAATTTTTTACTATATTTTTCTTATCTACAAATGTGAAAACATCAAACACAATTTACTACAAAACAAACTTATTTTATAGATAAATTTAAAAACACAAAAAAACTTAAAAAATTTATTTTTCTAAAAAAAAAACAACAATAACAAAAAATCTTTAATCTTTTTGACTATCAAAACAAAAAATCACAAAAACTTTTTATATTAGAAATTTGTTTTTTTTAAAAAAATAATAATTTCGATATTAAAAGATTTAGAGTAAGATGTATGAACATTTGAGTGTTTATGTACAATATTTATATGTATATATATATATTTGTATTACAAATATTAATAATGTATTAATAAAATAGTAATTTGCTCAAGTTATTATTATTATTATTATTATTATGCCACTAGCTAATTATTTAATAATAACGTACAAAATAAATAGAATATATAAATATAAAATGAAAATAAAACTGATAAAGAAAAAAACGCAAAACAAAATTAATTAGAATTATAATTTCCTTTATATACACATAAGATAATATACATATATGTAAACTGTATACATATATTATTATGATGAATAACGTAGAGTAACTATATAGCTAACATACAGAAGTTGAAAACAATTAATGTTAAAGACAGTAAGTTGTACAAACATCATAATTTTTTTGTTTTTTTTTATATACATTTTGGTTACCAAATATTTTTTATGTGTTAGTTTCTAATAATTCTATTAATTTAATTTAATTTGATTTTTTTCGGTTTAAAAAAGCATGAATTTTATATTGATACGTACGTGTATTAATAACGAGTCCCTAAATTTTTAAACTACATTATTCAAATGCCAAGTATTTCATAGTTTTGTCATAATTAATCTTAAATTTTAATTTTTATTCCACTAATTTGTTGTTATTGTTAATTTTTTTCTATTTTAATTTGTTAGTAAATAATATTTTATAAAAAAAAGTATAAACGTTGATATGAAAGTATCAACAATTTCAAGATTCTTTTAACAGGTTTTATAAATTACTCTAATTTATAAAAAAGTCATTCAAAATTAATTCAAAAATTTCATATCATGTTAACTCAACTTAAAAAAAAAATACAATAAAAAACAAAGTTTTATACTCAACAAACATGTTGAGTATAAATCATGTCAATGTTTTCTAAATTTAATTGGATATCGTATTCCTTTTTTTGTTTTAACCACAATGAAAATAATAAATTGAATAAACGTGTTGCATTGTAATATAAACTCTTTTGTTAATCCGATCTCCCATATACACCCCATATAATTTAAATTGCTTTCCAAGTATTCTGGTAATATTCAGGATCTTTAGTTAAGGTTCTTTAGTTTGGAAATGAAAACTTCCATTTTAATTTTTAAACTTTAAAATGTTTTGAAAGTGTGTTGAGGCATTAAAAATGGTATTTTTGAATTTAGCCTGAATTTTGCTATTCTAATTATTTTAACAATGTAGAATTTATTATGTTCCTTACAGCAGCATTTGGATAAATTTTCATTTTGATATGGGTATTTGAAAAAGTAAATTACATTTTTTTTTTAAATTTATAAAGTAAATAACATTAATTTTGAAGTTTTGAATTTAGGGACCTGCATTTGGCATACACGATTAATTAATTTTAATTAAATTAATAAAATTTTTTTACATTGTTAGAATTTTAAAATTTTAATAACAACATTTTATTCTTGAAAATAATTTTTAAAAATTCGATTCAGCTTAAAATTTTAATTTTTTTCCTAATTTTTATTGCAATTTTAATAGTTCCTTTATTTCTATATAATATTTCTGTTCTATAATTAAGTTAACTAATCAATTTCAAATATATTCGTTTTTTTTTATTCGTTAGTGGAATAACTTTTTAAATAAATAACATTTAGCTACACAAATTTAATATTGGCTTTTGTCTCTTACAATTTATTTTTTAAAAATTTCCTTAAATTTGTTCTTTTCATTGCTTTTAAAAGAGCAAGCGGGTGGTCTGGTTTATAGTAAAAAAATAATTTAATTGTCAATATGTGCTTAGAATAATTATGTCTTTTCAAGTAAACTACGTTACATTCTATAATGGTACTTTTGTACCAGTAAATAGTAATAGTAATTATTAAGAAAATAATTGCGAATTTATGCTATAAATTATGTTTTTGCATAATTTTCGCGAAAATAATTTTTTTTCGTAAAAAGTTTACAAATTAAAAAAAAATTGTTCTTTCAATCTTATGATAAAAAATTATTTTTTAAGAATATCAATATTAGGATGTCTACTAAAATGCAGATCTAACGTCAATTTGCTTAATTGAGCAATTGAAATTTCATTGCTGATTAAATCAAACTGTCATTAGATCTGCATTTTGGTAAATTCTAACACGTTTTCTCAACTTTTTGAAAAAAAAAAAACACTTTTAATAAATTTTTTAGCTTTATACTTTTAACTAAATATAAATAAAAATATGAAATTAAAATGTTTACAATAATTTTCAAGTAAACTTTCTATTTTGTTCAAATAGGTTTTTTTTGTTTAAAAAAGTAATAATATATGTGTTTTAAACTTTATGAAATTAGTGGAAAAACTAAAATAAATTTGATAATTTTTAGAATAAAAACTATTTCATATAAAAAATTTGTTTGAATTATCTAGCTATAAAATTCATATACATACATATGTATAAAATATAACTAATAATGTACGAAATCACCAAAAAAAAAATAGTTTATATTACATCTACCATATGCAAAACATTTGTAAGTTATGTATTTTTATATAATAGATAATTGAGTATTTATTTCTTTTTGGATAATCATTTATAATTAATATTCAAATTTTATAATATTTTTTTCTTTTTCAATCATTTTGTAGTGCATAGCCAGAATAGCCCGACAAACAAAATAAGAAAATCATGTATAACTCTTACATACATTGACCTTTTTTAGATGTGGATGCATTGACCGTATGCAGAAAACTTCTTTTATGCATGTTACACCCTCTTTTTACAGAAAATAAAATAGTATATAAAAGAAACGGAGTGGGAAGCATAAAAGAAGTTTTATACGTGTATGCATACACGTGTAAACAGGTTCATTTTCTATTCCTCATTGCAACTGCCATATCTCATTTTTTTGTAATTTGATTATTATATTCAATTTCAAGAACAAACACAAAAAAAAACAAAATCTATTCACAAAAACAATAACATTAACATTTACTCATTTGAAAATGCATTTTATTATTCAAATATATTCTTAAGTTTTTTATTTAGTTTAATATTAGATAAAATTTAAATTAAATGCATATGAACTAATTGCGGTACTTTCTATAAAAATCTATGGGATAAATAATTGTGTAAATAAATTGTAATTTTCATAACAATAAAATTTTTTAATATTTTCCAATTTTATAATGTTGGGAGTATAAAAATTAAAATTGAAAAGTTTAAATCATATACGAGTATTTAAACAAATCAAGTTTTGCAAAATTTCAACAATAACGTTCTAAATTTTGTATTAATAAAAAATTTGATATTAATGTTAGATTTGTTTTCGGTACATTTTAAAAGTTCGGCATTTTATTTAAATTGAGAAATTTAAATTTTTAAAAATTTTAATGTAATAATTTTTATTTTTGTTTTTTTTTTTTAACAAAATTTCACTTGCATTTAATCTTCGCATGTAGAATACTATAAATATTTGAAGTTATATTAAGTATTTTAAAAATTAATTTAATAAAATTATATACAAATATTATTAAAAAAATTTAAATCAAGTATTAAAAGTTCACTGTTTGGAAATAGTGTTGCCAATGTTTTAAAATTTTTTAAATACATATTTTATTTTTTTTCAATTATCGCTTCTTTTAAATTTTGATTTTTTTTTTTTGAAAATTTGTCTCTATTTTTTTGTTGTTTTTTTTTTTTATTTTTATATTGTATTTCTCTACGGTTCTCTACAAAAAAAAATTTACTAATAATAGAACATACAAATTAGGACTCGAACAATGAAAAAAATATTAACAATATCAGCCTCGCCAATGATGTTGCCAACAGCAACAGCGACAACATCCCAAATAGTAAAATGGGTCAGCAACAACAAAAGCAGGGGAACGAAATATACATGTTGGGCATTAGCAAAAGCTGCAAAGATGAGAATAACAAAAAAGAAATTATTAGTACAAGAGAAACAATTAGAGCAAAGAATTTCAGCAATAGATTACATCAAACACAAACAACATTCAAATCAAGAATTCGACGAAATTCAAATATAAATAATGTAATTAATCCTATTAAAATAACAACATCAACCGTACCAAATTCAATAATAATAGCAACACCATTAACATCATTAACTCCAACTATAATTGAGAGGCCAAAAAGTTATAGTTTTTTATATAGCAAACAGCAGTTACAGCAACAGCATCAACACCACGAATGCGAACCATCATTGATATCTAAAGGCAAATTAACTAAAACGTCTTAATTATTGAGAAGGAAAAATAAAAAACTCATTATTAATATTATTAATATTAATATATTTAAAAATTTTATTTGTTATTTTGTTTTTCTTTCATGAAAACGTATTATATTGTGCTTATTTGAATAATTAATTGTATTTTGTGTACATATTTGTGAATAGTTATTTAAAAATCCAACAAAATAAAAGCAATAATCCCAACTTTTGTACATATTATATAAATATAACACATCAGAGCAGTGAGCTGACAAATTCTTTGAGATATACATATCTTAACAGTTTTTATTCCAGTACCCAATAATAAGCGCATACAGATGACTTAATTTATACAGAAGTTCTTGAAGCATTTGCATCTTTTGAAAATAGGAAAGATATCGTTCTTTCTCAAAGTGTAATATTAAAATAATGGTCTATTAGTTTAAATATTTCTAAAGAAAATATGTACATTTGCATGTGCATAGTTTTTATTTGATAATTTCGTTTTTAAAAGAATTAAGGACGATCGTATGGGGTTAATATATCATAGCAATAATCAAAACTTTAACTTTAACGTTTAATGCGCAATTACTAATTATAAAATATTTCTGGCGCACAACTCATTCAATCAGAGATGTTTAACAGTCTTCGTCCTGAATGCAGCTCATTGTATGTACATACATACATAAATATGTTCAAATTTTATTTTGATTCGGATCAACACCATAATATACAACACTATAAATAAACACAAGAGGAATAAAAGAACTTTTTATTTAACTTTTTTTATACAGTTTTATGTCTGATAATAAGACTGAATGATCATATTATTGAATTTAGGTATGTAACATACTTATTATTTAAAAAATAATAATTATATAATGTGTTTATTTTTTTTTTTAATTTGAGAAACATTTTTTATTTTGGAATTAAAATGAAAAAAAAGCAGAATACGTTTAAAATTGAGTAAGAGATTTTCAGTTTATTTTTAAACAAAATTGAGTTATATTAGAATAATAAAAAATGAATTAATTCATAGAACCAAATGATTTTCATTTTTGTTTCTATTTAAATATATTTTACAAAAATATAATGCGATTGAAGAAGTCCGCATATTGAACTTTTTCTTCAAATATAAATTTAGAATTCACTAATTAATTTTTAGCTGAAAAGCGAAAACTGTATTTCGAGATATTAATGTAAATCCACTTCATATTGTTTTACTATTTGGCATTTAGCATGGTATTCTGAGGCATTTATTAGTAAGACCTTGCAGCTTCTGATTAGTTATTTTAATATAAGTCAGGTGGCCTACTACGTAGCGCTACTTTCGCTAAATGATTTTCGCCTCTAAAATTTCGACACTATGCTAATCGAATATCGCAAATTAGCGTATGCGAAAATATCACAAGGGTTACTATAGAACGCTTCATTGGGATACTTTTCATTCACTTGTCATTTTGTTTACGAATCTTATTGCGAAAGAACTTGCATTTCAAATTTACGCATTTAACTAAATTGTTCTAATTAATAATTATAGTTATGGGTCAAAATAAATTCCAAAACCGTTCTGGTTTACGAAAATGATAAAATTCATGCATTATGCCAAATTTGTTTCGCTTCTTTTTTCTAGACATTGCTTCTTTCCAGCCTTATTTTTGTGGGACCTAACTTTTTATCTATAGCCTTTCAAACTTCGGTTATAATAAGCGAAATGGTTTTCTTAGCAAGAGCAGTATTTAAATCTGAACTCACCTGCCAAAAAACTTTTTCAATCCGTATTTTTTGTTTTAAATTAACAATAAGCGCCTCCCTAATGTACTTTCAAATGTATGACTATTTTAAAATAGTTCAAATGTTTATTTTGAGAAAACTCTCCGAATCATTATTGCCAGTTTTAACTTTTTGCGATGCAATTTTGTTACATAATACCAAACCGTTTAAGAATCGCAAATCAAATTATGCAAATTTCCCAGTTTCGCATTTTTACATAGTAGGTCACCAGGTTTTATCGTTGTATATTAGAACCGATTTTACACATGACCGGAATATTATAAATTCTTTACACTTGGTACCTGGCTGTTCGTCCATATCGATCGTAACCTATCAAATGCTGCTTGGTAAAATATGGAAAAATCTTAATTTAAGACTTACATAGTTAAAATTCATAAGTCTATTTCGAATATATTTTGTATTTCTTAGTTTGCTTTCTGATAAATTTTAAAGTTTTTCGCTTATATACTGTTCATATAAATCTAACAATTTTTTACTTGTTCTTGGTCTAACAAGATTAAAAGCGATTTCAAAATGTTTCCAACAGACTCTTTCTGCTTCTAAATTTTCTTCTAAGGTTTTTAAAGCAGCTTCATGACATAACGCTTGAATTTCAGCCCCCGAATATCCATTAGTTTTGTTTATAAGCTCTTCTAAAATGACATCTTCATGAAGAGGCATTATTTTAAGCTTAATTTTAAATATTTCTTCTCTAGTTTTATCATCAGGTAAACCAACATAAACAAGTCTGTCAATTCGACCTGGTCTTAACAAAGCCTTATCAATCATATCGGGTCTATTAGTTGCAGCAACTATTGTAACATCCTTTAATGTATCAACACCATCTAATTCAGTTAATAATTGCGTAAGAACTCTTTCTTTAACGGAAGATGGTTGACCGTCAGATGATCTTTCTCCGCTTATCGCATCAATTTCATCGAAAAATATAATAGAAGGGGCTACTTGTTTAGCTTTACGAAATACTTCACGAACTGCGCGTTCTGATTCGCCTACCCACATCGAAAAGAGTTCCGGTCCTTTAATTGAAAGAAAATTCAAACGACTTTCTGTGGCCAATGCTTTAGCTATCATAGTTTTCGAACAACCGGGCGGTCCAAACATCAATATTCCACGTGGTGGTTTTATGCCAAGTTTTGTAAATTTATCAGGATAAAGTAAAGGCCATTCTATAGACTGCCGTAGTTTTAATTTTAAGTCATGCTGTCCTCCTATGTCATCCCATTTTACATTGGGACATTCTATTAAAACTTGACGCATTGCACTTGGTTTTACGAGGTTTAAAATAGAATTGATATCATCTGAAGAAATATATTTATCCTCATTTTGGCGATTAAGCGAGTTTATTGCTGCTTTATATACTAAATTTACCAAATCAGAACCCACAAAACCGTGAGTTATATTTGCTATATTTTGAATTTGTAACTCATTCAATTTGTGATCAACTTTCCCCAAATGCTTTTTAAGAATTTCATATCTTGTCTCGGGATTCGGAACTTGAATTTCAATCTCGTTATCAAATCTTCCACATCTTCTTATACCTAAAATCAAAATTTTAAATTTTAAAACAAGTTTTAAAATTTTTTTGAAGAAATTTTTATACCAGGATGTAAATTTTCTAAATTATTAGTTGTGGCGAGAACAAAAACTTTTTTGCCCCGTGGATTGAGGTGTAAACTATCAAACAAATTTAAAAAAGCTATTAATACTCTCTTGATAATTTCATTATTTTCATATTTTGGACATAAATTATTGATATCTTCTAGTATAATCAAAGAAGGTTTGGGATAATAACTAAAAGCCTTCTCAAATTTGTTTTGCAAATTAAGTTCGGTTTCCCCAAAGAATTTACTAAATATCTCGTTAGATTTGATTTTAATGATTTGCACATCAAATGTTGAAAAATAATTTGCAAACGCTTCAGCTAGCATGCTTTTGCCACATCCGGACGGACCATGTAATAAAGCACCTCTTGATATTTTCAAATCACTAGGAATGCTTCGCATGCCTAAACCTATTAATACGATATCTTTTAAATTTTCAATAACATCATCATGCCCGCCGATGTCTTCAATTTGAACGGATTTATTGAAATTATTTGTTTCAACATCTTCTGACTCATTTTCTAAGATAGTTATATCAGTTTTCTTAGTACAAAGAAGATAAATTTGCTTTCCAATATTAAGATTTTTAAATACATTATCTAAAGCAAATGTGCACTGCACGTCCTCATTTAAAATTGGTTGATAATTTATTATTTCTAATTTTATGAGTTTATTGTAAAATTTATAGTGTATTATATTTCCTATGGTGTATATCCTATTCCACATGTGAAATTGTAACATTTTAGACAATTTCTTAAAATCTAATTGATGTTCAGAACTACTCTTTATGTATTTTAAGGTAATTTCCTTGACTGGTATAGGATCATCACACAGTTTTTCTATTTGTAATTTGCAATTTTCGTTGTTTTCCCAATTTAAGCTGAAATCTAAAATCAATTTTGCAATAACTAAAACACAATTTGGGAAAGGTTCTCACCTTCTTCAGAAAAAAATACTTGTCCTAAATGTTTGTCTTGGATAGGCCAAACCATTCGAATTAAATATGGTGATTTTTCCGGAAGAGGGTAACATGCAACGTTTTCCCCAGTCTTCATTTGACATAATCTCATAACTTCTTCGCTGATAAATACTAATGAATTTTTTTGTTTGTCTTGCAGATCTTTTATTTCTTCAATTACAATCTTTGCAGATTCCAGGCTTTTGCAACTATTTGAGATTAGTTTTTCATTTTTAATAAAAGCAAATGGTTGCTCAAGTAATGTTGCATCGGAATTACAGAATTGCTTATGATTTTCACAATATTTTGACCCAAATAAACAACAACAGTTTTCACACTTGAGCCATAATGATTGCTGATTTCTCTTTGGTAATGATTTTCTTGACATTTTTGTCTTTCTAATTTTAGTTAGAACTTAATATTTCACATAAAACTTTAATAATATAATAAGAACATAAATAACAATTAAAAAAAAAATTGATTGTTTTCATTTTTTTTTGATAAAAAAAGCACGTGGATATGTCAAAATTATAAACAACATAACAAATATGTCATAGTAAATATGTATGTTTATAGTTTCTCATATATCTGACAACAATTTGCTGCCAAATTGAAGGGTAGCGTTAAAATCAGTTTGAGTCTCGAAGTGCAATAATAAATACGAGTTGGAGTTGGAGTACTTAAAGGCAAAGGATAGTAGCAAACGTAATCCCGTAAGTTTTGTATTTGATTGAATTCTCGATTTCAAAACTTGAAATGACAGTGGCAGGCCCATGACAATATCTTGCAAAAATCAGCTGAGTTTTGTTTATCAATATGCTTTGAATAATCGTTTTCTCATTTATACAAAACGACAATTGGAGATTTTTACATAGCATTGCATTAAGTTTTTCTAGTTAATTTCAAAATTAATTTTTAGGCGAACATTTAATTGCAATAGACCTTGCAATAAAGTAAATATACTTAAAAGGCAACTTATTAAAATTGATAAAATTTTTAATATAAAATTTCACCATTACTCTGAAGTTTTAGTAGAAAAAGAGGTAAATTTTATTTGATTACGAAACTGAAATTTTTAAAAATCTTAGCTGATTCAATATTTAGACTTTTGTTTTAGTTCTAATTGATAACTTCCTCATATTTTCAAAATGGATGGAGAATCAAAGAAACTTATTGATGATTGTTTTTTAAGACCTATTGCAGATGCACGCTCAACGTATACATATATATAATTATTTTTTTTAAATACATATCAACATATTTACGTAAATGAATTTATAAATGAAAATTGATTTTTGTAGAAACTCTACTACTGAGCCCATTTCAACAAAAAAAATGGTAAAGGCCGAATTGCAAGTACTACGACTGTCGGAGGAGTCCCAAGAAATGGTTATGAATACTTTGTATAGCATTCATGGCACAGATTTTCAATTGCATGATGCATCACACTATAAAGATATGGGTGGGAAATTTAAAAAAAGTTATTGGGAAGACAGAGGTACTCTTGTAATACAGGGTGCAACAAATTTTGCGGATTTTGAACCAAACGGGGATATTCAAGAAGTTGACCGTTTTCGTCTTTTTGCTATTTCAAAATTAGAAAGTTTTGGTTTTCCAAGTAGTCATTGTGCTGAAGCTTTAGATTTTTGTAAAGGAGACACGGAAGAAGCATTAAAGTTACTTTTTTTGAAATATATGAAATGTAAAACAAGTGCGGGAGACAATAAAAAAGAGGAAATGAGTTTTGATGAAAATGAATTGCTTGAATTAAGAGAAGATGAAAAAATGGCATTGGAATCGATTTACGAAAAAAAGTTTAAAGTTAAAGAAAAAAATCGTATCTGGTCTTTGCAATTCAAAATGGACTACCTTTTATGTTTTAGCCCATTTGAAGTAAGGAAAAAGGAAAAAGAAGTTTTACAAAAGCTTAAAAACGAAAAAAAGAAAGATCCCTTGAAAGATATTTGTCGTAATTATGTAAAAGGTCACTGCAAATTTGGCCACAGATGTAGGTACTTACATCGTTATCCAGAAGAAATACAAGATAATGTAGGGCTTGAAAAGGTGAAGTATATTCTTTTTTGCTTAGGGTAATAAGATATTAATTTTGTATATTTAGATTAACAAAAGAGATGAAGAGCATAACACTTTCTTTTTGGAAATACGATTTCCGGAAAAATCGAAGTATCCATATGAAGCTCCTTTAATTTTTCTAAAAACAACATGTCACGACATTCCGAGAGAAATACTTTTAAAGATTTCTCGAAAGTTGTATCGTGAAGCTCAGGAACTGGCTAAAGATGGAATGCCTTGTGTTTTCACTATTTCGGAACATTTGCAGATGGAAGACGAAATATTATCTTATCTTAAACTAGATAATGAAGAATTTTTGAATAGCAAATTATCTCTTTTTTATGAAGAAAGAAATTGTGACAGTGGTTTGGAAATTGACATTAAATTGAAGCCAACTCATTACAAACTTGGTAGTATTCACTCAAGTGAAGGCCAAAAACAAGATCCAACAAAAATATCTAATGATGACAGAGACTTAGTAAAAAAATTTTTAGACAAGCAATCAAATCCTAACTATAAGTCCATGCTGAAAGTACGACAAAGTCTTCCAGCTTGGATGAAAATGAATGAAATTCTGAATACAATTGAGGTTTCCCAAGTAGTAGTCATAAGTGGAGAAACTGGTTGTGGTAAATCGACTCAAGTTCCACAATTTGTTTTGGATAATTGGTTATTTCAATCATCTCAACTTCAAGATGTTAAAGACGTCAAACATGTTGAAATACTTTGTACACAACCAAGACGGCTTTCAGCTATAGGTGTAGCGGAGCGTGTTGCCGAAGAGCGCAATGAAAGAGTTGGTAAAACTGTAGGCTACCAAATACGTTTAGAAAATAAAATTTCTAATATTACACGATTGACATTTTGCACAACTGGAATATTGTTAAGACGTTTACAATCAGATCCATACTTAGAGACAGTAAGTCATATAATCGTCGATGAAGTACATGAACGAAGTGAAGAAACTGATTTTTTACTCATGATTTTGAAAGATATTTTACCAAAGAGGCCAAATTTAAAAGTAATTTTAATGTCAGCTACACTGAATGCAAATATTTTTTCAAAATATTTTGGGAACGTTCCTGTTATTGATATACCTGGTCGAACATTTCCTGTTGAACAAATATTTCTAGAAGAAATAGTTGAAAAATCTGGATTCGTCTTGGAAGCAGATTCACAATACTGCAGGAAAATTTCAAAAAAAGAAACAGAAGATTTATTGAATGAAATTGAATATGCTGACATACAAGCAAGTAATGTCGCCCCGCCGAAAGGCATTAAGGATGAAAATTTAAATTTAGCAGCAATTTATGCCAGGTATTGTGATTATTCCAGAACTACCTGCAAACATATTTATCTAGCAGATCCGATGAAAATTAATCCAGAACTTATAGAAAGTGTTTTAACTTACATAATTGATGGTGATCATAATTGGCCTCGGGAAGGTTCAATTTTAATATTTTTACCTGGTTTAGCAGAAATTCAAGCAATTCATGATTCATTATGTGATAATCCAAATTTCAGTCCTAGGTAATAATTTTAATGAAATTTGCATGTACTCAAATATAACAAATTTTTAAAATAATAAATACTAATTAATATTTATAGGTCAGGAAAATATATAATCGTTCCATTGCATTCCACATTAACCAGTGAAGAACAATCTCTTGTTTTCAAAAAGGCTCCTAAAGGGAAACGGAAAATTGTTCTCAGTACAAATGTAGCTGAAACATCAATAACTATAGACGATTGTGTATTTGTTATAGATTATGGATTAATGAAAGAAAAACACTTTGACTCAAATAAAAATATGGAATCATTAGAATTGGTTTGGGAATCAAGAGCAAACGCTCTACAGAGAAAGGGTAGGGCAGGTCGTGTAATGCCTGGTGTTTCTATACACTTATTTACCAGTCATAGGTATGAAAATCATCTTTTAAGTCAACCAATACCAGAAATCCACAGAGTACCTTTAGAACAACTTTTGTTAAGATTGAAAACTTTAAGAATTTTTTCTGATAGAAATGTAATAGAGGTTATGGGAAATATTGTGGAACCACCAACTGAAGAAAGCATTGTAACGGCTATAGAAAGATTGCAAGATATTGGAGCTTTTGATGAAGACCAAAATTTAACAGCCCTAGGACATCATTTGAGTGCGTTACCAGTGGATGTACGCATTGGAAAACTTATGCTTTTTGGAGCCATCTTTCATTGTTTAGATAGTGTCTTAACAATTGCGGCTTGTTTAAGTTTCAAATCGCCATTTGTTTGTCCGTTCAATAAAAGAGATGAAGCTGAACGCAAGAAACGTAGCTTTGCAATTCACAACAGTGATCATTTGACAATTTTAGCCGCTTATAAAAAATGGTTAGAGTATAGTAAAAAAAGCCGTTATTCTGGAAAATGCTTTGCAGACGAAAATTTTTTATCGATAAAGACACTAGAAACAATTATTGATATTAAATATCAATTCCTAGAATTGTTGGTGTCGATTGGCTTTGTGCCGATTGATTTACCATCAAAAAAAAGTACCTCTAATGACAACATTGCTCAATTGACTGGACTTCAATTGAATGAAAATTGTGATAATAATAGACTTTTAGTGTCACTTTTATGTGCTGCTTTATATCCAAATATTGTCAAAGTTTTAACACCGGAGAAAATATTTACAATGACTTCCGGTGGAGCCTTGCCTAAAGTAGTTCAAGCATCTGATCTACGATTTAAGACAAGGGAAGATGGATATGTGGCTATACATCCCTCATCCACTAATTCACAGTGTGGTCATTTCACATCTCCATTTTTGATATACCAAGAGAAAATAAAAACTTCTAGGATTTTTATTCGAGAATGTACAATGATTCCATTAAAACCACTTGTGTTCTTTTCGGGCAGTGACTTGAAAATTGAGTTACATGACGGAGACTTTGTCATTATAATGGATAAAGGTTGGATTTTGCTGAAGGCTCAAACATTAAAAGTGGCTGAAATGATTCAATGCTTACGATTAGAATTATTAAAATTGCTGGAAGAAAAAATAAAAGATCCATTATTAAATTTATTAAATCATGAAAATGGGAAAAAAATCATTGCTACAATCATTCATTTAGTCACAAAAGATTGATGATATAAAATTCTAAGGAAAAAAATTTATTTGTTTAGCTAAATTTAAGAACTACATACATAGATGTGTTTCAAATGCAGTTCATATTAAAAATTTATAAATATCTAAACGTTGTACATACGTATATACAAACATATGTATAAGATAAGTTTTGATACAGATGTCTATTTATTTCAAATAAATGTACGTGCATTTTTTTCACTGAGTCTCTTTTTTTTGCATGTATGTGCATACATATATAATTTAGTGTCAAGATTATCATTTCATTTTTAATCATGCAGCTGATGGCGAGATACATGAACAAAGTTTTCCTTGTTCAGATTCATATGACACCTTCAAGAATATACAACAGTAAATATAGTTGTATCGCAGTTAAAACCCCATAGTATATAAGTAAAGTTTATACTTTTGGTTAAAACTTTTTCCTAAATCACTAAAACTAAAAGAAAATAAACCATATGTCTTGGAAGATCCCCACCTACTGCTCTGATTTTTACTGAATAGATTGTGGTCAGTCCAGAAACTGAAGGTGAAGTTGGCGAAAACTTAATACTTATTATTTTGTTTATTTTTAATTTATCGCATTATATACATACATACATATATATATATATATATATATATATACATATATATATATGTATGTATATATATGTATATATGTACATTTATGTATATAGTGTATTGAGGCGAATTCTACGATAGAAACTCTGTTTACTACGATGTAAACTCTGTAGGCTGTATTAATTATCCCAAAATCGTACTATCGTCGAATAAAAGTTTATAATTTTAAAAACTATAATAAAATTACATAAAAAAAGTACAAAGCACCGATGAGATATAAAACCTTAAATTTATAGACAGACTAGATTGGTTAGTTAGTGAATAATATCAGTATCAAAAGTTTTTGTTTTATAAGTATATTATGTACAATGTATGTATTTAGCTATCTATACATCTGTATATTACAATTATTACTTACTTAATATACTTGCTCTTCTCTATTATTAAGAGTAAGCATGAATTGTAATTTTTTGTGTGAATGGTTAATTAAATAGAGAACAATTCTATATTGTGTATATAAAAAGAAATTACTTGAGTAAATTTTTTTAGTAGTAGGTTGAGCTATCACAGTATAAAGAAGCTTAAAAAACAAATTCAGAGTCAAAAAAATATTCTTTAATCAAAATGGATATTTTAAATGTTGTCATATATTTATTATTAATTTTAATACCCATTTTGTATGGCTTAATACAAAAGCGATACGCATATTGGAAAGATCGTGGAATTCCATATGTAGAACCAGTATTCATTTATGGTAGTGCGCCAAAATTGCGATCTCAAAAACTTCTTTCTGATAATCTTCAAAGTATTTATGATAAATATAAAGGGAAAATTCCATTCGTTGGTTTGTTTTTATTTTTCAAACCAACAATAACAATATTAAATTTGGATTACGTAAAAAATATTTTGATTAAAGATTTTCATAGTTTTACTGATCGGGGTATTTATTACAATGAGCGTGATGATCCATTATCAGCTCATTTATTCGCATTAGATGGTCATAAATGGCAATCATTAAGGAAAAAATTATCACCAACATTCACGTCTGGTAAAATGAAATTTATGTTTCCAACAGTTGTTGAAGTTGGAGAGCGATTTGCTGATGTATTTGGTACATATGTAAAAAATGGGCAAGATATTGCTATTAAAGAATTATTAGCTAGATTTACAACTGATGTTATTGGAACATGTGCCTTTGGAATTGATTGTAACAGTTTAAAGGATCCAAATGCTGAATTCCGTTTGATGGGACGTAAAATATTTAATGAAGCAAGAAATGGTCGTCTTGGGAGGGCGTTTATAACAAATTTTCCGGAGTTATCGCGAAAAATTGGTATTAAAACGACACGTGATGATGTTAATGAATTCTTTATGAAGGCCGTCAAAGATACTGTAGCATATCGAGAACAAAATAATGTATCAAGAAATGATTTTATGGATATATTAATTCAATTAAAAAATGAAAAAACTCTTGGGACTGAAGATGGTGCAAAAGGAAATTTGACAATTGAACAGGTTGCAGCTCAAGCATTTGTATTTTTCATTGCTGGATTTGAAACTTCTTCAACAACGATGGGATTTTGTCTTTACGAATTGGCGAAAAATCAAGAGGTCCAGAATAAATTAAGAAATGAAATACAGCAAGTTCTTAAAAGGCATAACGGTAAACTTACCTATGAAAGTATGAATGAAATGCACTATTTGGAACAAGTACTTTCAGGTAAGATATTATGACTTTGTTTTATTAAATGCTAAGATATGCATACGTATGTATGTATGAAAATAAAATAACGAATACACACATTCATATGCAGCTATGTACGTACATAATAATTATCTTAAGCCATAATAATTACAACTCATTGGAAACTATTATGCAATCGCAGTATGAATTTAAACTACTATAGAATGCGTTTTTTATGATACACAAATATATTTTCATAGCTACTGCAAGTTTATATAATCACTTTTTACTCTATCATTAAATTTAAGTTTAATAGAAATTAAAACTTTTTATTTCAAAGTGTTTAAAGTTAGAAAATTGTATGTAGATACATATGGATATGTATGCATATACGTATGTATATGTGATAATAGTTAACAATAAATAAATGGGTTGTTGAGCTCCGGATTGCATGCAAACAACTAAGTGTTTGAATATTGCAAGCTTGTGATATAAATAATGTAGCATCAATTAAATATTGTAGCGCCAATGATCAACAAAAGGGTCTGCATAATACATAATGTATGTATCTATTTTGTCATTTTTGTTTTTTATAACTTTGAATAAATAAAAACAAGGGTACAAAAACACAGGTGCACACCGTATTTTATCATTTATTATGTATGTATGTATTTGCGTTAGAACCAGATAGAACTCGTTTTTAGTAATTGGTTATCTTAAACCTTCTTAATGATAGCGCCAATCTGTTTTTTTATTTTGTATTGCCATTTGTAAAATCTCTTCATCATTTCGAAATCCAGTCATTATAGATTTAATTGTTTTTTCCGTTTTTTATTTGCTTTGATAAACTATGCATGTCAAAATTTAATTATAACTTATAAAAGTACATACTTACATACATTATGTAAATAATAATTTTAGGTTAATAAAATAAAATGTACATACATATTTGAGAAATAATTTTCTTCAAATTAATTTATAATATCATACAAAATTTACAATATAAAAATAGTTTTTATAAATTACATGCATATGTGTGTGTGTTCACAATAATGACCGGAAAATATATTTCTACCTTATGTGAAAAGTTTACAATATGATTATTATAAATCCAGAAGATTTACTTTAAATGTTCTATTTTATTTTCCAGAGACACTTCGTAAGTACCCCGTTGTGCCTATTCTATTTAGAAAACCAGTTGTAGATTATAAAATGCCAGATTCAGATTTTGTAATACCGAAAAAAACATTAGTTTTTATACCAGTAAAATCAATACATTACGATGAAGAAATTTATGAAGAACCAGAAAAATTTGATCCAGATCGATTTACACCGCAAGCTATACAAACACGACATCCACAAGCATGGTTACCATTTGGTGATGGCCCAAGAAATTGTATCGGTTTAAGATTTGGTAAAATGCAAGCTAAAATCGGTTTAGTATTTCTTTTACAAAAATTTAAATTTAATTTTTGTGATAAGACAATGAAAAATATTGTATATAATCCAAAATCTTTTGTATTAGCAACAAAAGAAGATATTGTTTTAAGAGTTGAAACAGCTTAAAACAATCACTCATTTAAAGTAGCATTATTGTATAATAGTTAACAGACACATTGTATAATAGATATAGTTAATATTTTTCAACTTTATATTAAATTCATTTTATTAGAACTTAAGAAAAACTATTGCTAATATGATTGACATTAATTTACTGAAATACTTTTTACTATTTTAGTTTTATATACTTAAATAATATTAAAAAGTATTATAATTATGAAGCACAATGTATTATGTAAAAAGTATAATAATATTTTTTAATATGTAAGTATATGTTATTTAATTCTATGTTGTGTATTGATTTTAGATAAATAAAATAAATTATTAAGCTTAGGAATTTCAATAATAAAACTTGTTTACTATAATGTTAGTATCATTTATTATTAAATCCTTTTGGGGAAATCGACGGGCAAACATGAATAAGAAATATAGAAGTCAAACAAACAAACATTTTTTTTATTTTAGGTCGTCATAATAATATGTTGTTTGTAAATCTGTGGAATACATCCCATTTTAGGATGCTTATATAACAAGTCTTACGGTGTTAAAGCAGAAAGGAGAAGTTTAGCAATTTTTTATACGATTCGTGTGTTTATTGATGTTCTTGGATGGACAAACGATTAATTTTTAAGAGTTCTAATTGATTTGAAATAAAATTATGTTAAGAACATGATAAGAATCATGTACGTAAATATTAAAAATCTATGTTTTTAGCTATGTTCTACTTTTAATTCAATACCATCAAGTAGAGATATTAATTTGTTTATTTACTATAGTTTTACTACTTCAATATCTTAGTATATATTAATTGTATTAATATAGTCGTAGTAGTTAATATGTATAGTCGTATATAAATGAATATATTTATTATAATTTGTTGCATTTTTACAAATTACTATTTAAGTGAATATCAATATTATATTTAGAGTTACTTTTAATATACAAATTTAAAAATAAAGAAAAGTACAATTTCAAATTTCACATTTACAATAACGCATATATATTAATTGCGCAATACAAATGTACAATTTAAAACAAAGTATCATGAGTATCTATGATATATTAATATGCCATATTAATTAAAATTAATACATGAGTAATTTCAATCTAGTTTAACTAGATTTATTGTAATTTCAAGGAATTTTTGCATTTTGTATTATGTCTACATTGTTTTTATAATACTATTATAGTTTGCAAGAAATAAAAGGTATCAATATTTTACTATTTATAACTGACTACACTATAAAAAAATTGAAATTTTTGCAGCTTACCGTTTATACAAGAACATTAATTTAAATATTTGGGAAAAAGGAGAACAGGCTTTAAAATAACGGTAAATATCAACGGCCAATTTGTCAAATTGACATTTAGTCTGTTATAGAATATATAGGACATTATAATAGGTGGTAGAATATTATAGTAATAATCAATATTTAATTTAAAGGTATTGTGCATTTATAATCATTCAATTTGAATGTCGCAATATAGTAATGATGCATTTCTAATTAACATCAGTATAACACGTTCATCGTCAGTGTTATACTGATGTCTCGGATCTAGGAGTCTCGGGATCCGTCCCCAGATGAGGCATGAAACCAAAAGATAATCAAACCCTTCCTCCGCACCTATCCCTCAACTGTATCCATTCACTCCTGATTCCCCCTAAGCCGGGTCAAGGTGTTACGCGACCCTTTCCGATAATCAGTTTGGCTGGGGGCCCAGACTAATAGTCCAGTCGCTAACGGAGCTTCCAGATACCTGGCGCCCTCCGGATTATTTAGCCTTGAATTACTTAAATGAGTCCGGCACTCATAAACAGTCAGAAAGAAATTTGGCCAAGCCAATTTCTGGAAACCAAGAATGCTAAAAGCACTGGTGCAAAACCCAAGGTGCATAAGGAGCTACCGCACACAAGCTATGACCCATGAAAAGAACGCACACAAAGCTATGGGCAAGAAAAGAACGCCGTCAGCAACGATAACGCTGTCGCAAAGACTTATGTGGAACGGCGTTCTGCGTTTAGGAACCTGGAAAAGATCGGTCGGATTCCGAAAAAAGACAGGTCTGAAGAAGAGAGGTCCACATACAACTGGGCCAAGAGTATTGTGGACAACCGATTAAGCGAGAGAGTTGTGCCAACAAAACGACAGCGCCCCACAGAGGAGCCCCTCGGGAAGCTAAAAAGCCAAGGCCACTGAGCAGACCCTTGACTGCATGCACTACGAGGTCTTTTAGTGAGATCCTGAAGGACCATTTTGTTGTCGCTATGGCTGACCAGGCGCAAGAAGATGGCAGGATCTCTGCTGAGAATTGGAGGAAAGTTGAAAGCCGATTAATGGTGGGTTTTCTTCAAATCATGAAGAGAATCCAGGCCCATATCCCAAGCGGACCGCGGGCTCGGGCTTGGATTCCAGCTGAGCCGTCGAACACTGATACCATCCTGGAGTTGATCAGATTGGGTAATCCCAACTTGCCAACAGCCAACTGGTGGCAAAGTTGTAAGAGAAAAAGGGCGACTGTCGGCAGGCTCTCATAATAATAAATAGGGAATCTCTGGCATCTTTGGAGAGTCAGGGATTTGCCCTTTACTATGGGTTCTCCTCCATAACCCTTAAATTGTATAAAACAAACACGAAGGTGGAGAGGGCCCAGAAGCAGAATGACCGACGGGAATACCCTGAGAGTGTGCCATCGGTCGTCGACGTCGCCAAAAGGGCTCCGGAGATCAGCCTTCACCACTCTAAAGCAGCCTCGGCTGCGCTCCTTCTCCGCTTACAAAGGATTGGAGATGATATAGTCCTGGTCCAGGAACCCTGGATAGCAGGGGGAAAGACCTGCGAGCTGAGGACGCCAGGATACAAGCTGTTTTATAGCGACAGCAGCTCAAAGGTAAGATCATGCATACATATTAAAAGTAACTTAAATGCTTTTCTATTACCTCTTTGCAGCAATGAAGACTTGACTGTAGTCAGTCTTGAAGCTAGTGGCAGTATCTCTTGGTGGGCGTCAGTAAACCTGCCCTTCGACTTCCAAAGGGAGCTACAGCCCGAGAATTTGAAGGACATGGTGGAGAAGGCCCAGTCTCTCCAAACCGGCCTTATTATTGGGAGCGATGCAAAAGCGCATCATGTAATCTGGGGAAGCTCCGACACTAACATGAGAGCTGAGTCACTTTTAGAATTTATTTTAAAAACTATCCTCACTTTATGAAATAGAGGCTCAGAGCCCACTTTTAATAATAAATATCGGCAAGAGGTTATAGATATAACCCTTGCCTCAAACATTCTTGCTGCTCTGGTCAGGAATTGAAGAGTGTCGGAAGATCATTCTTTTTCTGACCACCACTATATAGAATTCGAATTGGTAACCAACCGGAATGCTCCCTTGACCTTCAGAAACCGCAAAAGGACTGATTGGTCAAAGTTCGGAGACTCGCATAGCCATCTCTTGGATAGTGGGGTCCCTTCTCGTCCTGGGACGAGTGGGGGACAGGATAGTATGGTCTGCATACTTACCGAAGCCATAAATGGCGTGGCCTCTAGAGTAGCGTGTCCACTAACTCGGTTAAGAAGCAAAAGAAATCCGCAATGGTTGTCCGATGATTTGAATGCTCTTCGGAAAAAATGCAAAAGTCAATTCAACAGAGCAAAATTCAGCGGAGCATCATCTGATTGGAACGCATACAAGGATGGTCTCAGAAAATACAAGCGTCAGCGGAGAAGGGCGCAGCGATCCACCTGGAGGGAGTTTTGTGGAAGGATTAGCGAGTTTGCGGAGGCATCTGGACTAAAAAAGGTCCTGGCAAGTGACCCAGTCGTGCCGAGTCATCTGCTGGCAGCTGGCGACTTCGGAGTCCTTGGGGCTCCTTCTTGATGCGCACTTCCCGGAATCCTTGAGGCAGTCTACTTCGAATGTCTACGACGGTGAATCTTGTTCCTCAGAAGTGGTCACCGAGGGAGGAATTCTTTGGGCTATCCGCAGCTTTCAGTCTTTCAAATCGGCGGGCTAGAACGATATAGTGCCTGCGGAACTACAAAATGCGACGGAGGTCATCCTGCCCTGGCTATTAATTTATTAAATTAAAATTATTTACGAATGCTGTATAATGTTGCCAGGGTCGTCTTCATTCTTAAAACTGGGAGGAGCTCTCACAGCTGCCCAAAAGATTTTAGATCACCTAGTCTAACATCATTTCTACTAAAAATATTGGAAAAATTGATAGACGAATACATAATTAGCAACCTTAACCCGAGGTGGGTGTCTCCTGCACAACATGCGTACCGGAAGGTTAGGTCAACGGAAACGGTACTTGATACACTACATTGAAGGGTCCCTTAACTGCGGGGAACACACACTGGCTGCCTTCCTAGATGTTGAAGGCGCTTTCAGCAATGTCGAGTCGCGATCGATTACTCAAGCTCTGTCGCAGCTCAATTCATGGCTCCCTGACTGCCCTAATAGGAAATATGCTGTCTGGCACATCCATCAGAGCCAGCTTTAGCGGGTCATGCGTTGAGCGCTCTGTTAGAAGGTAAATCCCGCAGGGGGGTGTGCTTTCTCCTCTTCTCTGGAACCTGGCAATCAATCGGTTACTGGTACTCCTGGATGGGGAGGTATCTGGGAAACACCTCCACTCTCTAAATGGGCTGATACAGAGGGCTCTTAACCTCGTTCCAAATTGGGTGGCCAGCTGCGGACTATCATTAACCCTCAAAAGACGGAGCTGGTGATTTTCAGTAAGAGATATAGGATTCCAGGCGTAATTCTTCCAAAACTGGGCGGAATCCGCCTATCGTTTAGCAGGGAGGCTGGATTTCTGGGGCTGGTTCTGGATTCAAAGTTGAACTGCAAGTCTAACGTCATGGAGGGAGTAAAGAAAGCAACTATTGCGCTTTACTCGTGCAAGAGGGCAATCGGGAAGAGGTGGGCCCTGAAATCAAGCATAGTTTATTGGTTGTACACCGCAGTGGTGAGACCGGTTCTGATGTACGGAGTTCTGGTTTGGTGGCCGGCGCTCCGTACTTCCTTAAACGTGAGATTAATCAGCAGGGTTCAGAGGATGGCAATGGTGTGTGTTGGTGTGGCTCTGCGCTCCACCCCTACACAGGCTCTTGAGATTCTCTTGTATCTGCTGCCATTAGATATAGTGGGCAAGCAGATGGCTGCGGAGTCTCCATACAATTGATTTGGTTCCTCCCGTGCTTTCATTCGTCAGGAATTTCGGAGCATCGATCCTGCCGAGGCAAAGTTGGTTGGACGCGGTCAGGGATGACTTGAAACTTATCGGAAAGGTGGGAAACTCGGAGCAATTAAGGGTTGAGGACTCTTTCAGCTTGCTGGACCACTACAGTGTCTTTCGGGTAGAGATGGTTGCAATTGGGGAGGCTGTGCGCTGGGTTGGCGACCATGTGGTGTCCGTGGGCAGTGTTAGCATCTTCACGGGCAGCCAGATCGCGATAAGGGCGTTGGGGTCGGAGACCTCTACGTCCAGAACGGTCCTAGATTATAGGTCGTCTCTTAACGAGATGTTATCGGGTTGAACTTGGTTTGGGTTCCCGAATACAGTGCGATTTCGGGGAATTGCAAGGCAGATCAGCTTGCGAGACATGGAACGACCCTCGGAATTCTACCCGAAAAGGAGAACCTGGGCATGCCTCTAAGCACTCAAAGGCTGCTTCTACGCAGTGCAGCGGTAGAACGTACCAATCTTAGATGAGCGAATGGAACTACGCGTAACACGCAAGGAAGTTGTGGCCAAAGCTAGACTTGCGTCGCACAAGCGATCTGATATCTCTCCGACGGGAGGATATTGGCGTGGTGACAGGGTTTTTAACTGGACACTGTCGGATTGGCGATCATGCCAATCACCCCGCAAACGATCTCTGTAGGAGCTACTGTGACGTGGGGGAGGAGAAAACGGTGACCGCTGTTTTCGTGTCCGGCGTTGGCGAACTCCAGGCGAGGGTTTCTTGGGTCCCACTTTTTTGGGCGGGCTACGGACCTAGTGGATGTAAATGCTGGCGATCTTGGCTGGTTCTAATGAGGGAGAGAGGGAGGATCCGGTGGCATCACAAGGGGCCTTGGTGGTCTAGGTATACCCTTTGGGGGCCGTGCAACCTAACCTGACCTAAAATTTCATCTTATATGTATATAAGATTTTAATTTGTACTTTTAAAATATGTGTATTGTTCTTGTACTTAGGGAATTGGGATACAATATGAACACATATTTAACAAAAATAATTATTACATAATGATAAAGCTGGACGTACTCGCCTCCTACAATGTTCCCTTTCACTAAATTATTTCACTTAGGTACTTTTTATACCAATTTCTCACTTTCCGATTATATTTCAAAGTAAAAGTTCATAAATTTTTTTCATCTTATTTTTTTTAAAGCCTTATACCATAATAGAACACAACGAATTTTTAATTTCAAAATATACGTTATTGGAAGGGAATCCGGTATTTGATAATGAGTTCAATTAGTCCAGATTATTTAATAGGTGCACGTACTAACAGGGTTATTTTGATAACTACAAAAAGTTTTTGCTAATTTTTATGATAAAGTAGTAAAAAACCAATTTTGTATTAACAAGGTGGTACTTTAATTTGGAATTACGCTTTATTAAAAAAATACAAACAATTTTAGATAACCCCGATGAGACATACATTCATGTCTCATCGGGGTATTAAAAATTTTTAATCTACAAATATAACTCGTCTACACAATACTCGTATTATTATTTAATATTATTCAGAGTAAGCATGAATTGTAGATTTTAATTTGCTGATTAAATTAGAAAACTTCTATGTATGTATATAAAATAAAATAATTTCAATGAATTTTTTTATTGTTATTGGATTTATCGGAATGCATAGAAGCATTAAAAATAAAGTGAGAATTATTTTAAAATCAACTTCAAAAATTTTTTATTAAAATTATAATATGGGAATTTTTATTTTTTTGCTATATATTTTATTAATTTTAATACCTATTTTGTATGTTTTGATGAAAAAACATTACGATTATTGGAAAAATCGTGGCATTCCATTTGTAGAGCCAAAATTAATATTTGGTAATGCACCAAAATTGGGATCTCAAAAGCATATTTTTGATAATATTCAAAAAATTTATGACAAATTCAAAGGAAAAATTCCTTTTATTGGTTTATTTTTATTTTTCAAACCAACGATTACAATATTAAATTTGGATTACGTAAAAAATATTTTGATTAAAGACTTTCATGTTTTTGCTGATCGGGGTATTTATTACAATGAGCGTGATGATCCATTATCAGCTCATTTATTCGCATTAGACGGTCATAAATGGCAACCATTAAGGAAAAAATTATCACCAACATTCACGTCTGGTAAAATGAAATTTATGTTTCCAACAGTTGTTGAAGTTGGAGAGAGATTTGCTGATGTATTTGGTACATATGTAAAAAATGGGCAAGATATTGCTATTAAAGAATTATTAGCTAGATTCACAACTGATGTTATTGGAACATGTGCATTTGGAATTGATTGTAACAGTTTAAAGGATCCAAATGCTGAATTCCGTTTGATGGGACGTAAAATATTTAATGAAGGTCGCTTTGGTCGAATATTTACAGCTAATTTTCCAGATTTTTCAAGAAAACTGGGTATAAAAGGAACAAGTGATGACGTTAGCGCATTTTTCATGAAGGCTGTTAAAGATACTGTAGAATATAGAGAACAAAATAAAATATCAAGAAATGATTTCATGGATCTTTTGATTCAATTAAAAAATGAGAAAACGATTGGAATTGAAGATGATAAAAATGGAAACTTAACATTTCAACAAGTTGCTGCTCAAGCATTTGTATTTTTTATTGCTGGATTTGAAACTTCCTCAACAACGATGGGATTTTGTCTCTACGAATTGGCGAAAAATCAAGAGGTCCAGAATAAATTAAGAAATGAAATACAGGAAGTTCTTAAAAGGTATAACGGTAAACTTACCTATGAAAGTATGAATGAAATGCACTATTTGGAACAAGTACTTTCAGGTAAGTTTACGTTTTAAACAAAAATAATATTAATTATTTGCAAATATTTTTTCCACAAAGCTTTTATATTTATAGTTATGCGCTTATAAATAATAACTATGATTTTTATTTACTGATTTATTTTCTAGAGACACTTCGCAAGTACCCAGTAGTACCAATTTTATTTCGAAAACCAGTTATAGATTATAAAATGCCAGATTCAGATTTTGTAATACCGAAAAAAACATTAGTTTTTATACCTGTAAGATCAATACATTACGATGAAGAAATTTATGAAGAACCAGAAAAATTTGATCCAGATCGATTCACACCGGAAGCTATAGAAACACGACATCCACAAGCATGGTTACCATTTGGTGATGGCCCAAGAAATTGTATCGGTTTAAGATTTGGTAAAATGCAAGCTAAAATTGGTTTAATCTTCCTGTTGCAAAATTTTAAATTTAGCTGTTGCAATAAAACAATGGAAAGTATTGTGTATGATCCAAAATCTTTTATACTAGCGACAAAAGAAGAAATTGTTTTAAGAGTTGAAGAAGTTTAAAAGAGATCGTGTACATACGCCGAATAGATCTAAATACGTTCATTTTTATTTTTATTTATATGTTTAAGCTTGTCTCAATAATAGCGATTTCTGGGTATACATATAATAAATATTTATAAAGTTATATAATTTCCCATTAGTAATGAAAGATTTGAATTATTTGCAAATTAGACTTTTCAGCTTGACTTTATTATATTAGACTTGAGAATTTTGAAGTTGATAACTTAGTTAATTCTTAATAATTGTTTGTTAGGTTAATAATTTGTTACCTAGTTAATAAAGTTCTATGTAAATTCAATTATTTAATTTCACACATATACATTGTAAATTATTTTATTTTTGTATCTATCTTGTACTGATAATTTGTTTTTCACGTTTAATATTTAAAATCAAACTCACTTTACTGAAATTTATTAATACATACAAATGTAAGATAAATTTTGTTACAGTCAAAAAAATTTACATTTAAAATACTTATGTAAATAATTTGAATTTAAATAAGGTTAAACTAAACATTTATTGATTCATATTTTTCGAATTTCCACCCACACACCTCCAACAGGTGTTAATATAAGAGTTTCTGCGTTGAAATCTAATGGAACGCTGCTTTTATCACAGATAAAGAATCGAAAGTTTCTCAGCAAGGTTACAAGTCCAACACGTATTTGCATCATTCCAAATCTCAACGCAATACAATTCCGTGGCCCATCACCGAACGCTAAAAATGAGCAATGTGGTCTTAACTTTACATTTTCAGGCAAAAATCTGTCTGGGTCAAATTTTAACGGATCGGGATACCATTCGGGATCATGTTGTATAGCATATACTGGTATCCATACAGTTGTTTCTTTCTCAATAATCTTATCTGTTCCAGGTACTTGATAGTCTTCTTGAGTTCTACGTATGAGATGAGCAACAGGAGGATATTTTCGAAGTGTTTCTACAATAGATAAAAGTACATTGAGAATTAGTCATTTAATTTTATATACTCTTGCTGTAAATAGTTCATAAATGTACATATCGTATGTTTACCATTAATAACTTGATCCAAATAAGTCATTTCCATCATAGCTTCATATGTAAATTCTCCATTATGTTTTTCAATTATTGTATTAATTTCATTTCTCAATTTATCTTGAATATCTTGATTGACGGCTAATTCATGTATTGAATAGGACATTGTGGTGGATGATGACTCGAAACCGGCCAAAAAAAAAGCAAACACTTGGGCTGCAATTTCTTCAAATGTTAAACAATCAAGATTATTGTCCTCAGTATCATCAAGTTTTCCATACTTTCCTAACTGAATTAACAAATCCATTAAATCGCGTCTTCTGACATTATTTTTTATACGATAATCCATGGTTTGCTTAACAACACCTAAAAAAAATTTACTAACTTCTTCTCTAGTACATGTTATTCGCAATCTTGCTGCCAATTTTTTAAATGTATAAACAAAAATCTGCCCAACTGCAGTATTTTTAGGATTTTCGAATACAGTTTTTCCCATGCGAAGAAATTTTGCACTTGGATCTTTTAAACTATTACAATCGATTCCGAAAGCGCATGTACCAACTACATCTGTTGTAAAACGACCAAAAAGTTCTCTCATTTCAATAATATCATTTTCTTTAATTAATTCACGTAAAGTTGCTTGAAGTTCTTCACCAACTTTGACTATTGTACTAAACATAAATTTCATTTTACCTGATGTAAATGTTGGTGTTAATTTGGGACGTAAATTTTTCCATTTTTGTGCATCTAAAGCAAATAAATGAGCTGATAGTGGATCATCTTTTTCATTATAATAAACTCCACGATCATTAAAATAGTGAAAATCTTTTATCAATATATTTTTAACTAAATCGATATCTAATATAAATGCAAGCGGACTTGTAAAAATATATATTCCAATAAATGGATATTTTCCTTTTTCTTTATCATAACATTCTTTCGCTTGTTGAGAAGAATGAATTTTATATTTAAAACCTTGTAAATTACCAAATGGTATACGGGGTTGTAAAGACGGAATACCTCGTTTTGTCCAATAACTATATTTGTAGGTAAAAAATCCATATATGAATGTAAGTATAAATATTATAATGTAGAGGAAATATAATCCAATATCCATTTTTGCCAGCTTAAGTACGAAAAAGACAATTTTCCTAGTTCCAGTTTTCTTTGAACTAAAAAAATTAATAAAGTTAAAAATATTTTAAATAGCTATGTGAGGGGATATTTTTCATATTTGTATATTGTAAATTGTCTTTAGTGCTGCATATTATTTAAAAACATAACTCAACTACGGAAATTTAATTTTTTTACCAAAAAATTAATCCGTTGCAAAATTTAGGTTTTTATTCAAGCCTCCTGGTTCTTCTCTAGCCGCTTTTTTAAGCATAAGAACAATTACTTAATGCGTTTTTCAAAAAGCTTAATCTAATACGACATATTTTTACTCATATACATATGTATAAATTACATAATTATGTGTGTAAAACTGAAATTTAAGTTAAAAACTAGTTCTGTCTTAAAATATACATAATCAATTTTAATACCTAAAATTCCGAATGTTTTTATAAAATGTATACTTACAAAAATTTCCCATGTTCACAATATTAAATTAATTATGTAGTTCTAAATCAATATACCTAAAATTTCTTAAATAACAATTCCGTGCACAATCAAAACAATTCTGTTATGCTATGCCTCAACAACTGATTGTCATAAAAGTAAGAGAGATTCGAATTGAATTTTAATAATATAGGAAATCATCATATACATACTTAACATGTGACTCTAGTGACATAATTTGATAGATATATGTATACATGTACATATTTATAATTTGATCCCAATTAACATTGAACAAACCTGTTCTATTTCATTTGTCAAGATCAGAACTTTCGTATTTTATTTAGAAAAGTTCCTTAAAAAAATTAAATTAAAAAGTTTTAGAAAGTATTTCTAAAATTGCTGAAAACTTTTTTCAAAGAGCTTTGACTATAAACTTTTTCTGTTAAAAACTAAATATAACCGTTAAAACTTTGAAACACACCTTTCCAAAAGGCTAAAATGTTATTTCGAAAATGTTATGAAATTTTCTTATACATTTAAAATTGAATTTAAATACTACCTCTTACGAAAAAAGAATTGTTTTTATAAGCTTGTGCTTAGTATATGCGAATATTTTATTATTCTCGTAAAAATAATCGAGTCACTACGGTTAAACCGTAGTGCAAATATTTTTAATAACCTTAACCGTAAATTGCAAGAGTTAACTTGAACATTTTCTCTAAGCGAATATATTTTCGAAACAACATGAAATTAAAATTTCCAAAAATATTCAATTTACCGAAATACAAATTATTTTATTTGATCTTTTTCTTTATGAACAAAAATATTATCCGCACATCCACGAAAACGAAATCCTACAGCAGACTCGTAAATATGTATGTAAGTATGTATACAGATATTAATTTACATTTTCACAATTTCTCAATTTGCACCCATACTCCCCCGTTTGGTGTTAACATAATACCGTTTGGGTCAAAATCTATTGGTATATTAGTTTTTTTGCAAATTTTGAATCGAAAGTTTCTTAATAAACTTATTAGTCCAATACGTGCTTGCATCATTCCAAATCTTAAACCAAGACAATTACGTGGTCCATCACCAAATGCTAAAAACGTATGATTTGGTCTCAGTTGAACATTTTCAGTTGAAAATCTTTCTGGATCAAATTTTAATGGATCTGGATACCATTCGGGATCATGATGTATAGCATAGACTGGTATCCAAACTAATGTTTCTTTCTCAATAATCTTATCTGTTCCTGGTATTTTATAATCCCTTTGAGCCTCACGTGGAAGAATAGCAACAGGTGGATACTTTCGAAGTGACTCTACAATAAACATATACGTATAAAATTGTTAATTGGTTATCAGAATGTGAATTGCAATAATTATAATAGTTACCGTTAATAACTTGATCCAAATAAGTCATTTCCATTGTCGCTTCATATGTAAATTTTCCATTATGTTTTTCAATTATTGTATTAATTTCATTTCTTAATTTGTCTTGAATTTCTTGATTAATTGCCAATTCATATATTGAATAACACATTGTAGTGGATGATGTCTCGAAACCGGCCAAAAAAAATACATATGCTTGGGCTGCAACTTCTTCAAATGTTAAATGTCCAACATATTGCTCATCGTTATTGAAGTCATTTTCCTCAAGTTTTCCATATTTTCTTAATTGAATCAACATATCCATAAAATCGTTACGTTTGATATTATATTTTATGCGGTGCTCCATTGTTTCTCTAACGACACCCAAAAAAAAATCGCCAACATCCTTTCTGGTTGTTGTTATTCGAAGCAATTTTGCCAGTTTTTTAAACGTAAACACAAAAGCAGTATTTTTAGGTTTTTCAAATGCAGTCTTTGCCATATGAAGAAATTCAGCATTTGGATCTTTTAAGCTATTGCATTCAATTCCAAAAGCGCAAGTGCCAATTACATCTGTTGTAAAACGACCTAAAAGTTCTTTCATTTCAATAATATCATTTTCTTTAATTAATTCACGTAAAGTTTCTTGAAATTCTTCACCAACTTTGACTATTGTACTAAACATAAATTTCATTTTACCAGATGTGAATGTTGGTGTTAATTTGTGACGTAGCTTCTTCCACTTCTGTCCATCTAAAGAAAATAAATGAGCTGATAGTGGATCATCTTTTTCATTATAATAAACTCCACGATCAATGAAATTTTGAAAATCCTTAACTAATATATTTTTAACTAAATCAATATCCAATATTAAAGCAAATGGATTCGTAAAAAAGTACATTCCAACAAAAGAAAATTTTCCTTTTTCTTTATCATAAAACTCTTTCATTTTTTGTGATGGATGCATAGTACGATGAAATTCTAAATAATGATGTGGTGTACTACGTTTTTCCCAATATTTACGTTTGTTGGTAAAAACTCCATATAAAAATGTTGCAATATATATTATAGTGTAATTAATGCATTTTTCGATATCCATTTTAATATTCTAATTATTTGCCAATCTAATAGAAAAATTTCTATAATTTGGTTTTCGATATTATTTTAATATATGTATGTACAAATGTATGTGGGAAGTTATATACCTAATTTTACATTATATACATTATATACCTATATGAGTGACAGTTCTACAATGACAGAATACAAAGTTCTCAACTTCTTGCTAATACATACTTGGTAGTAATAAGAACGATTTAAAATTTACTTTAAAGGTTTGTTACAAATTTATGTAGTTTCTAAGATATATTTATATGGTTGCACTAATATGTGCTCTAACTCTATTTGGTTTTATTGTAAATTAAATTAGTATGAATGTTTTTTGAATAAAATGTTTTTTATTCAAAAAACATTCATACTAACGTTAAAATGACATCGAAAACTTACTACAAAAGAAAAGAATCCTACAAAAATAACAATTAAGTATGTTAATAATTCAATAATTTTCCTTACCCTTCAAAAAAGTACGTTTATCCTGTTTTAAATTTAAATAAAATTTTGAATTTTGTTTTTAATTAAATAATAATAGTAATAGAAGTAACTGAGCACTTATGAGAGCAAAAAACGAATTTTTAATTTTTCTTTATTTTTTTAATTGTTTTTCTAATATAGTTTTTATATTATAAATTAATTAAATATAAATTTAAAAAGCATGTGTGCACCTACGTTTTTTAATATTTTATTTAAAAGCTATTGCAAATATACACATGCACATATGCATATGTATAAATTTTTTTGTGTGCTATATTGCAAAAATAACAAATAACTGTCTCTATTCAAGAACGCACGTATCAATTTTGTTATTTAATATATAGAATAGTTTATTGCTTTGGCGATAATATGTAAGTAATAGTAATATTGTCAGAGTCCGTGCCCAAACATAATTTACTTTTTAATTTTTAAAGAAATATTCTTGATATTAGGGAAAGTATTGAAAGAAAAAAAACGAAAAGGAACAAAATTTAAACGTTAAAATTTAATAAAAATTAAATACGTAAATTCGTCATTCAAAATAAAAAACAAATCACTAAATTAAAAAATTTTCTCATGTGTATTTCTCAGAGGGCCTTCTTCCAGAATCCTGATTTACACTTATTACACCAATCTACATATATTACATATTATATTCTTAATTTTCATGTAATTTAAAAAAAAACGTAATTTTGATATTATAATTTTTTGTTAAAACATAAAAAAACTTAAAAAGTTAAAAAACGTTAAAATGACATCGAAAACTTACTACAAAAGAAAAGAATCCTACAAAAATAACAATGAAGTATGTTAATAATTCAATAATTTTCCTTACCCTTCAAAAAAGTACGTTTATCCTGTTTTAAATTTAAATAAAATTTTGAATTTTGTTTTTAATTAAATAATAATAGTAATAGAAGTAACTAGTCACTTATGAGAGCAATTTTGCAATGTTTAAATTCAAGAAGTAACAAAATATTTGTTCTTTACCGTAAAAGCTTTTAGAAAAATTAAAAAATAACTTATTTCGAAAAAAAAGCTTTGTAAGCTTTTGTAAAAAAGTTTTTAAAAGTATTTTAAAGTATATAAATCTATTTATATACGATTTGCACACACTTCTACAACTTTCATAATGCATTTAATACGCTGAATTTACTTTGAATTTGAAGAAGTATATGTATATAAACCTACAACGCAAATCAAACATATCGTTTCAGGCTCTGTCACATATTTTTAGGATAGGCAACACAACGTAACTCAATCATAATATCAGCAGTGCTGCCGCAGTTGTGTAAATATCTTCTTATTAATATTAGCCTAAGTGAATCAACCCATAAAATCGTTACTTTTGATATTATATTTTATGCGGTGCTCCATTTTTTCTCTAACGACACCCAAAAAAAAATCGCCAACATCCTTTCTGGTGGTTGTTATTCGAAGCAATTTTGCTTGTTTCTTAAACGTAAACACAAAAGCAGTACTTTTAGGTTTTTCAAATGCAGTCTTTGCCATATGAAGAAATTCTGCATTTGGATCTTTTAAGCTATTACATTCAATTCCAAAAGCGCAAGTGCCAATTACATCTGTTGTAAAACGACCTAAAAGTTCTTTCATTTCAATAATGTCATTTTCTTTAATTAATTCACGTAAAGTTTCTTGAAATTCTTCACCAACTTTGACTATTGTACTAAACATAAATATCATTTTACCAGATGTGAATGTTGGTGTTAATTTGTGACGTAGCTTCTTCCACTTCTGTCCATCTAAAGAAAATAAATGAGCTGATAGTGGATCATCTTTTTCATTATAATAAACTCCACGATCAATGAAATTTTGAAAATCTTTAACTAATATATTTTTAGCTAAATCAATATCCAATATTAAAGCAAATGGATTCGTAAAAAAGTACATTCCAACAAAAGAAAATTTTCCTTTTTCTTTATCATAAAACTCTTTCATTTTTTGTGATGGATGCATAGTACGATGAAATTCTAAATAATGATGTGGTGTACTACGTTTTTCCCAATATTTACGTTTGTTGGTAAAAACTCCATATAAAAATGTTGCAATATATATTATAGTGTAATTAAAGCATTTTTCGATATCCATTTTAATATTCTAATTATTTGCCAATCTAATAGAAAAATTTCTATAATTTGATTTTCGATATTATTTTAATATATGTATGTACAGATGGATGTGGGTAGTTATATATCTACACATGCACATATGCATATGTATAAATTTTCTTGTGTGCTATATTGCAAAAATAACAAATAACTGTCTCTATTCGAGAACGCACGTATCAATTTTGTTATTTAATATATAGAATAGTTTATTGCTTTGGCGATAATATGTAAGTAATAGTAATATTGTCAGAGTCCGTGCCCAAACATAATTTACTTTTTAATTTTTAAAGAAATATTCTTGATATTAGGGAAAGTATTGAAAGAAAAAAAACGAAAAGGAACAAAATTTAAACGTTAAAATTTAATAAAAATTAAATACGTAAATTCGTCATTCAAAATAAAAAACAAATCACTAAATTAAAAAATTTTCTCATGTGTATTTCTCAGAGGGCCTTCTTCCAGAATCCTGATTTACACTTATTACACCAATCTACATATATTACATATTATATTCTTAATTTTCATGTAATTTAAAAAAAAACGTAATTTTGATATTATAATTTTTTGTTAAAACATAAAAAAACTTAAAAAGTTAAAAAACGTTAAAATGACATCGAAAACTTACTACAAAAGAAAAGAATCCTACAAAAATAACAATGAAGTATGTTAATAATTCAATAATTTTCCTTACCCTTCAAAAAAGTACGTTTATCCTGTTTTAAATTTAAATAAAATTTTGAATTTTGTTTTTATTAAATAATAATAGTAATAGAAGTAACTAGTCACTTATGAGAGCAATTTTGCAATGTTTAAATTCAAGAAGTAACAAAATATTTGTTCTTTGCCGTAAAAGCTTTTAGAAAAATTAAAAAATAACTTATTTCGAAAAAAAAGCTTTGTAAGCTTTTGTAAAAAAGTTTTTAAAAGTATTTTAAAGTATATAAATCTATTTATATACGATTTGCACACACTTCTACAACTTTCATAATGCATTTAATACGCTGAATTTACTTTGAATTTGAAGAAGTATATGTATATACACCTACAACGCAAATCAAACATATCGTTTCAGGCTCTATCACATATTTTTAGGATAGGCAACACAACGTAACTCAATCATAATGTCAATGGTGGTTGCCTCAGCTGTATGAACATCTTCTTATTAATATTACCCTAAGTGAGATCTCCAAGGCTTGCAGAAGGAATAACTGAATATGTACACTTGTTCAAATTCAATGTAAATTTAGCGTATTAAATGTATTATAAAAGTTGTAGATGTGTATACAAATCGTTTGGATAATAATTAAGCGTTTCGTTTTGCAGATTTCTTCAAGTACATATATGTATATAAGTAGATCATGTATTAATTTTAGTCAACCTTAGTTTTAGTGGACAAACTTAGCGAAAACAAAACATTAAACATTTTTCATATAAATTTACATTTAAGCATCAGTCGGGTTAACCGATTGTAATCAATTGTATAGTATATCATATAAATTATGAAAATTTAATTCAAAATAATATCTAAATTTTGTAAACGTATGCAAGAGAAGAAAACTAATATCACTTCCAAATTTAATTATTAATTTTATTTCTCTTATTTTTAATTACTATTAACTATGATAATAGAATTATAAATATATATGAAGACTAATTTTAAAAATATTTCTTTTTAGTAAGAGTAAAATAAATATAATTTGCGTATACATAACAATTTTGTATACTTTTTATAATAAATAAACAAAACTCCAAAATAAAATGTTAAAAATTAAAAATGCAACAGGAAACAAAGTACGAGATCTTCGATCTATCCAATTAGCTACTTCTTTAGGTGTCATGGTTGTCCAACCGAGTGATGCTTCATTAAAACCATTATTGTTACCATCTAATGTTGAATTTGTTATTATATTTACTCTATTTGCCAAATTTAATGGTTTTATATTATAAGATATTTTACCATTTTCAATATGAACATCATTTTGTGATTCTGTCCGAATAATTGTTGGTATACGTCTTACTGTTGTTGATGATGTTAAAAAGCGTGTATTACCCTACAAATGAATTTTAAATTTTTAAACGGGTATGTACTATAATAACAAAATGTTTATATATGTTTATGTATATATATGAACTTCTTTAATTTTTACATTTGCAATTGATTGATTTACATCGATAGGTTTTAATGTGTTTTCAACAAATAAATTTGCACAAGATTTAGCTTTTTGTAATTCCCCAAACTCTTTTCGTACTAAACGGGGTGTTAACGTTGATTTAAGTATATACTTCGAATTAACCTTTTTTAATTTAACCTCCTTATGTCTTCTCCATATTATATTAACAAAAGCAAATTCTACTAAACTGCCAAAAATGAAGGCTGTGCACCCCAAGAACCAAATTTCTGATACTTTAATATAACTAACTTTTGGAAGGGTTTTACTTTGAGCTGATGCCAATGTGATAAATGCTAACATAGTATTGATTCCTGTAATTAAATAAATATAGAGTTTAAGTTGCTGCGTTTAAAGTATTTTTTTTTATTAAGGTTAGTACCTAACGTAATCCTGGGAGCAGATTGATCCGCTTGTAACCAAAACGACACCCATGATATAGCAACAATCATGATTGATGGTAAAAAATAGCTTAGCAAATAGAATCCCATTTCCCTTGCTAAATATACTGTGAAATGTAAACAACTATAGTTTCCAGCTAAAATTATAAATCCCATCAAAAATTTATTCGATTAATGTACTGAGAATATATCTTTTTTATTCTACAATATTATTAATTATATAACTTATATTTACCAAAAGCTCCATGTCTCAAGTCTGATAAATTGGCTACAATTGTTTGTTGAGTTTGATTAAAAGCTAATAATTTATATTCTGTTAAATGTGTATCTGGAGCTAAAGTAACTGGAGACATTATTTCCCATAATAATACCAATTCTGTAGTATTGTACATCCAACTTTCAAACGTCGCCTTACATTGTTGTTCATCTAACGGAAATTTTTTCAAATTCATCCAACAATATAATGTCGCTTGTATTCTTGTTGATAATATTACAGTGCCATCTGCAGATATTGATGTTAAATAATCTTTTTGATCAGTACCAAGAACATCAGAATTTTTTTCATTCGATATAAATATGTGCGGTTTCCAAATAGCGTCACGTAATGATTTTTCACCAAAAATCGGTTGATTACGATTAGGTGAGACTTGTTTAAATGCTAAACGTGGATCAACGAATCTTAATTGTAAAAGGGCATGAATTTTAAACTGTAAATTATCCGCTCCAAGAATTTGCATAAAATATATATGAGCTCTAGCATAAACCTTTACTGGTAACCGTTTTCGATCTTTTCCTTCACCGTCAAATGCTAAAAAAATTGTTATATTTTTATATATGCATACACATATGTTTAAATTTGAAAAAATATTTTAAATTTGGAAAAACTTTATGTATATACGTTAACTTACTTAACGGTCTCTCCAATCGATCGTATCGACATTTATGTACTAATCTCTCAATAAGTTGAGTCTGTGAATTTAAATTAAGAGATTTCTGTAAAATTTGTTTCAAAATTTGTATTTCTTTTAATAAACCTGATATATAATATTAAGTAGGGGCCCAAAACCGCACTGTCACCTCCTAGTGGTGGGCCCCGGTAATGGCGGAGGATAAAGGGGTGATTGAAACGATCAAAGTTACGTTCGTGTCGTGGTCATGTCTCGCGGCGAGCCTCTTGCTTTGTGAGTTTCAGCCCTATATCTATACGTCAGCTGACGACAGGCGTCCCAAGTCAAGGTGGAACAGCATATGCCGATGACTGCGTGGCTAAGGGGGAGCTTAGTCGTTAGTATGCGGACTCTGGATACCAGGCGCCCTCCAGTTTAAATGAGCCTTCCCATGGTATGCCGGGCTCTGCCATGGGTGACTTTACTTTCCCGCGCTACTCGTGGGACAGAAATGGAAAACAACAACAACAACAACAAGACAAATAACAACAGTGACAACAACAACAACGACACTAAGGACAACATACAACCACTTAGTGCTCAAGGGTCTTCGGAACCAGAGCTTCTCTCAACTGACGCAGAGGAGGAACTCCTTCTCACGCCAGTGGAGGAAAAGGCGTCGCCTCCGATGGAGACGGATAATCAGGATCCTCTTGGACCTATTATCCAAAAAACTGAGGAGGACCTGAAAAGGTTGGACATCAGGGGAAAAAAACAATATTTCTCTGGTGCATCCAAGCGGCGTATCGCGGCTTATATCAGGGATGGCATGTCCCCAGAGGAAGCTCGCAGATACGAGAAGGAAAGGCTGGAAAAGCTGAAGGCCTGCGGATCGGTTGTTGTGGCCGACCATCCCCAAAAGAGGGAAAGGTCGGAAAGCAACACCCCTGATGCAGGGCCCTCAAAGAAGAGGTCGATGAAGGGCAATGTTGAGGAAAAGGTCCCTGGGAACATTCCTCAACAAAACCCGAAAATGACTTCTTATCGGGATGCAGTAGCACAGGTCAAGGTGGCCATCACTCATAGACTGCATCCAGAGGAAAGGCTATCCGAAGTCCAGATGGGGAAAATCAAAGTAGCCATCATGGATGAAATGGATAGGGTTGTGGACTCTCATCCACAATTCACTGTAGCGTTGCAAAGGGACGGATGGATATCCGTAACATGCAACAATCAAGACACCAGGGAGTGGATAACCAGTGTCTGCAGGAAGATAAAGCCTTGGGACGGTTGCGATGTCGTGGTACTGGATGGCGGCAGCATGCCCAAACAGCATGTCTGCGTCACCTACGTACCAAAGGACGAGACAACCGTCAGTCTCTCCAGGGACAAATTTCTAAGTAGGATAGGGAAGCAAAATCCCAGCCTCAAGATAAGTTCCTGGAGGGTGCTGAGGATGGATAAGGAAAAGGACGGGGGCTGCTCCATCACCTTTTCCGTGGATGATTCCGGATTGGAAGATCTACGGAAAGCGGAGTTCCGACTTTTCCTGAATTTCTTCCGTGTTACCGTTCGGGTTAAAGGAAGAAAATCCTCTCAAGGTGCTGGCGGCAGGGCAGGACAAAATAAAAAACCAGTGCCCACCGCGACAACGACAACGACGAGCACTTCAGGCCAACCAAAAGAGCCAAAACTCATTGGAAAGTCTGAAGTCGCTCCGAAAATGGCGGCAAGGGAAACGGAAGGACCATCGACCAGCACGCCAAATACAAGCGTCCCGGGGGAACCAAAAGGGCTCAAGCCCATTGGGAAGCCCGGAAATGCTTCGGTATTTGCTGTTGGAGGGGCCAGCGTGGCACCTGGGGCGGCAAAAGAGGCTGTGGCAGGGCAGGCGCCCACCAAGATGTGTAAAAAGGCGAAAATGGGAGGTAAGGCTCATGTAAAGCCTTTGTCTAAAGGGCCAAAGCCCATAGACAAGAGCCGGAGGAAATAATATGGCTGTGAGGTGCATCCAAATAAATCTACAGCATGCTAGGGCATCTACTGATGTTCTGGCTCATAGATTTATGAAGGATCACCTCGATATCGCCCTTATCCAAGAGCCTTACATAGTGAAGGATCAGGTTAAGGGCCTAACAGGTGAGCTATTGTATGATAATACAACTGGGGGCAGGCCTAGGGCTTGCATCTTGTTTAGTAAAAAGCTAACGTATTTTCCCATTCCAGATTACTGTTCTAAGGATCAGGTAGCTGCGTTGGTGAAGGTGAAGTCCTGCGGGGGCTGGACAGAGTTCATTGTGTGCTCATCCTACCTCCCGGGGGACTGTGCCCACCCGGACGAGCAACTGAAGGATCTAGTGGACTTTTGTGGAAGGAGGAACTTCCAACTTATAATAGGAAGTGATGCCAATGCCCACCACACCGTCTGGGGAAGCAGCAATATAAACAAAAGAGGTGAGTGCCTACTTGAATTTATATATAGCAATAAATTAATGATTATGAATGAAGGCAATAGGCCGACATTCATAAATGCAATTAGGGAAGAGATCCTTGACATCACCCTTTGCACTGAATTTATCGGCAGTAGGATTGGTGGATGACATGTCTCAAATGAGACATCCATGTCCGATCATAGGCAGATTAGGTTTGATATCATGGTCTCCGGGGGCCTGGCAGAAGAAATATATCGGGTGCCCCAATCCACAGATTGGAGTCAATTCGAAACGCTCCTCATGAATGGGATTAGATCCGTTCCTGCTTCTGTCAGAACGGTGATGGATATCGAACTGGCCAGCGAGGCCCTGACGGCGGCTATTACTAATGCCTATCACGGGAGCTGCCGTGCTAAGCCGAGGCGGAGCAATAGGAAGTGCCCGTGGTGGAATGAAGAGCTTTCAAGGCTTAGACTAAAGACCAGAAAGCTATTCAATAAGGCCAAGGCGTCAGGTTCGTGGGAAGAGTATAAGGACTCACTCACAAAATACAATAAAGAAATTAGGAAAGCGAAGAGAATCTCGTGGAGGGCGTTCTGCAAGGGCATTGATGAACTCCCCAGCAGTGCGCGTCTTCACAGGGTGCTTTCCAAAAAGTATGCTAGTAGGTTGGGCCTAATGGAACGTCCTGATGGCTCCATGACTGAGAACGGAAGGCAGACGTTGGAGCTTATGGCGTCAACGCACTTTCCTGACTCGGAGATTCTTCGGAATCACTCAAATGCAGTCATCGAACCGGGGGCACCCTGGCCCAGGAGGGATGACTGGCAGCGATCCCGTCTGGTTTTCACGATGGGCAGGATTAGATGGGCTGTTTTCTCTTTCAGGCCCTTCAAATCTCCAGGTGATGACGGGATATATCCTGCATTTTTGCAGAGGGGTTTCCAACATATCGCTAGAGCACTGTTGGGAATTTTTCGCGCCAGCTATGCGTGGGGTTACATCCCTCAGGCATGGAGGGTGGCTAAAGTGACGTATATTCCGAAGGTAGGTAAGCGACCAAGCAACCACCCAAGGTCTTTCCGTCCAATCAGCCTTACTTCTTTTCTATTGAAAGCAATGGAAAAAGTGATTGATAGATTTATACGGGACGGTGCACTGGGAAGCAATCCCTTGCATGAATCTCAATACGCCTATCAGTCGGGAAGGTCTACTGTACTCGCTCTGCAGAGTCTGGTGGGGGTCCTTGAAAACTCACTGGAAGTGCGGGAGGTAGCAGTTGGCTGCTTCCTTGATATAGAGGGAGCTTTTGACAACACCCCATATCATGTCATCTGTGAGTCGTTGCACAAACGAGGGATTAATGAGACGACTAGCAGATGGGTCAATCGGATGCTACAGGATAGGATTATTAAGTCCACCATAGCTGACGATATACTCTTCATCTCCGCTGCAAAAGGATGTCCGCAGGGCGGGGTTCTTTCGCCCCTCCTGTGGTCCATTGTAGTGGATGATCTAATAGCTGCTCTCAGGGGCTCCGGGGCGCGTGTCTGGGGATACGCTGACGATGTGGCCTTCGTCGTGCGGGGAAAATTTGAGAGCACTATTTCTGATCTTCTACAGCAAAATTTACGTGTTGTGGAAAGGTGGTGCAAAGGCGTTGAGTTAAATATAAATCCAAGCAAGAGCACTTTGGTCGCCTTCACCAGACGCAGAAGCAGGGACAGATTAACGAGCCCAATTCTGTTTGGTGAACGTATCAGTTACTCGAGGGAGGTGAAGTATCTGGGGGTAACCCTGGATGATCGTCTCTCTTGGAATACCCATATCGATAGAGTTATCGGGAGAGCTACAGCGGCCTTGTGGACGTGTAGGAGCTTCATCGGGGGGACCTGGGGAATTGGTCCCAGAATAGCACTGTGGCTATATACGGCCCTTGCTAGGCCCATCGTCACCTATGCGTCGATTGTATGGTGCCGTAAGGCTCAGCAGGCGGGTGTGTGGGTCAAGCTTGAAAAGCTACAGAGGCTTTCCTACCTGGGAGTGACCGGGGCAATGCGGACGGCTCCCACCGCTGCATTGGAGTTGATGATCGGATTGCCGCCACTGCACCTCCATATCTTGAAGGAAGCTCGGCTAGTGACTTATCGACTTCTCTCTGGCGAGGACGGGGCAGGGCTAAAGTTGGCCCACAGGACTCACAAAGACTTCATTGAGACCGATCCGATCCTAAGAATAACCATGTCGGATACCTGTCTGCCGCGGTACAACTTCGACCACAGGTACAGGGTTCTGTTTCCCGATCGATGGACGTGGGATCGGGGTGGCTAGGTACTTAGGCCGGGTTCGAGCGTGTGGTATGCGGACGGGTCCAAAACGGAGTCGGGTGTAAGTTCGGGCGTATACTGTGTCCGCCCGGACACGCGTGTATATGCAACCCTTGACCCGTATTGCACAGTGTTCCAAGCCGAAATAAATGCAATAGATCTGTCTGAGAGTCAATTTAGAAAGGGGGTATAGAAACCGCACCATCTATGTGTTCTCAGACAGCAGGGCTGCACTGCTGGCGCTCCGTTCAGCTCAGGTTACATCCAAGCTGGTCTGGAGCTGCCTTGCTGCACTTATGGAATTGGCATCGGAAAACAGAGTGATGCTCATTTGGGTGCCGGGCCATAGTGGCCATGCGGGCAACGAAGTTGCCGATGAGTTGGCGCGGAGGGGATCTGGGGCTGCCTTTGTGCAGCCGCTGCCTTTCTGTGGTCTGCCTTCTTCCGCCGTGGGGGCCAGGCTTGCCTGCCTACTCGCGGCAGAATGCAGTCGTCACTGGCGGGACACGAAAGGGTGCCGTCATGCGAAGGTGTTTGTTCCGGCGTGCTCCGGCGGATTCGCTGCGGAGTTGCTGGGGATGAGCAGGAGCCGGGTTCGCACTATTGCGAATTTCTTCACGGGGCACTGCCCGGTGAAATACCACCTGCACAGGCTGGGGAAGTCGGGCTCCCCCCTGTGCAGATTTTGTGGGGGTGGCGATGAGACCGCCGTGCACATTCTCTGCGACTGTCCGGCACTGGCTGTTCGGCGCCGCAATTGTCTTGGACATGGGTCCCTAAGTGTTCGGGAACTATTGTCCAACTCTCTTAGGGATATCTCCGGCTTTGTGATTGGGACGGGGATATTATAGACGGAAGGGTGGGGTGGCTACAATAAGTCAAAAATGGCTGCGGTGGCTTGGGGGGATGCTCCTGTCCCCACTCAGTTCCCTTAGAATCTACAATCTACAATAATATTAAGTAATTAATAATAAAAAAAAACGGATAAAAATTTCTAATGTTTAAAGTACGACATTCAAAATTACTTATATTTCAATCGTATAAATATATAAAATTTTTGTATAAAAATTTATTTTGTATAATGGACATATTTATAGTTACTTACCTGTGAAAAAGAATCAGCATTTTCTAAAGATGGGCAATTGTCATTTCTGAAAAAGAAATCTTAAGATTAATTTTTCCAATTGTCAATTTTTTTCAATTTATTCAATATATTAGTGAATTAACCTTTTCTAACCTAAGCCCAAAAAACAATCACATTTTTTTGATAATGCTAAAAATTTTACTTGATGAACAACCAGGCCTTACAATGAAATTCGATTTTCGTGAATCGATTTTCGTATTTGCAGAAATGGAAAGGTAGTACCATCAATTTGTAGTACCATACAAATTGATTGATCGGAATACGAAAACCGTTTCATGCAAATAAAATTACATAGTAAGGTCCCATCATATTACATAGTGAGGGCTTATTTAATGAATACATATGTATAATAAAGGAAACTTAATATCAGTTATACTTACTTTACTATAACTATTGCTTCTGTTTGATTTCTTTCTTCCTTAGATTCTTCTTCTCTAAGTTCAATATTTGGTGTTACATTTGCTGGCGGAATTAATAATTCTTCAGTTATATTGACTTCCGGTAGTAATGTGGTTATTTCTAAAATATTCTCTGTAGAGCTTTTAATATCCAAATCTGTATTATTATTTATTAATAATAAATATTCGGTTGAATTTTCATCATCTATATTTAGGAATTCCACAACATCTGTTGTTGTTGTAAAATTTTCAGCATATATTTTACAAATAATGTTTAGAATTATTAAAATTAAACTAGTTTTCCATGTGGAAAACATTTTTTAAATTTGATTTTATTTATTTGCTTTGATTATTTAGATTGAGAAAGTTTATTAATTTAAATTGCATTTACTTAGTTTGATCTAAAAATATACACAAATGTAATAAAATAAAATATGTATGGATGCACTTAGTGTATATTTATAGTTTATATGTATGTGTTAGTTAAAATATTCTAAACTTTAAAAAAAACTGTGTAAAAGTTAATTTAGAAGAAGATAATTAAAAAATTATTAACTATTAGGAATATAAAAAGTTTTAAAATAAATTAAGTAATGTCAAAATTAATGAACAAATTAACAAGTTATAATAAAATTGTATAATAGTTTCAGAAAGCACTTTAAACCTAACGAATTTTCATAACAATGAGGTGACCACAATTTGTTAAATTTCTTAACGTGTAAGTTTGTGCCGGAATGGCTTCTATTGAACAATGTCGGATTAAAAACAAGTAGGTACTACAAAAGCTCTTTTACATATTTTCTTTTTTTCTTTCTTTTTAGGGGTTAAATATGAAATGGTTCATTTGAAATGGATGATGTGTCAATTGATGCTGATGTCGTGAATTTCGACTTAAATATGTAATTTGAAAGTGAAAAACTTTAATCACATTCAGGTTTAGTGAAGCAGTACTACAAAAAAACGATTGAAAACCAAGGCGAAACACCAAACTATTATTTGAAATATAATTGTTTTAGACACATTAATCGCTTTTAGGCAATATGTCTATATATACATACATGTGCAAAGGGAACATACATACAAAGGGAACTAATATATTTATGTAAACTAGTTAAAGATCAGAGATTCGAAAATAATGTAAAAACAAGGATAAATTTTATTATAATAATTAATTCTTACATATGTATGTTCATATTTCTACATAGCTATAAATTAGAATTTTTTGATAAACATTTATTTTTAAAATAATATTTTCGATTAACTTTATCTCATAATATTATATTTGCTTCAGAGTAATTATAAATGTGTGTATAATATTAATATGCACCCATGTAGTGTAATTATATTATTTCCCATGATATTTTATATATATGTAGGTATTTAAAATATTTGTTCTGTATTATTATAGGAATAAAAAAATAAAAAAAATAATTGAATAAACTGCATTTTTTATTCTTTTTTTTAAGTTTTAAAAAAAGTATACATATGTATTTAGTTTGCTCTAATAATAGCTACAAAATTATATTTCAAAATACTCAAAATTTAAAGTATATTTTAAATAAATTTACATTATGTATTAAACATTAAACGCCTCTTACATAAATAGGTATAAGTCATATATAAAATTATAGAAAAAGAAAAAGACAACTGAAAATATTGGAATTTTTATTAGAAATAATTTAAATCATTCAATTCTAATTAAGTATGAAGATATCGATATTACTGATTTAGTAATTCGTCTAGCTAGAGCGGAAATATGATGCCACCTATAAATTGATTTTAAATACATTTTTGTTTAGCGTCAATAAAACTCTACAAGTGCTTTTATTTGCTAGCATTTTATACACCAATTAAGCAAAAATTTTATTTTATTTTTTGTTTTTATCACGAAATTAATTGTAAGTTTTTATAATTAAAAACAATATGCGAATTTTTTTTATAAAAATATTAAAAAAATGGGATTTTGTTTTTCTATTCATATTTGTATATGAGATTCACATACATATATAAGAAATGAAAATTTATATTTAATTCAAATATTTTATATAATAAAATTTTGTTAAAATATTAAAATATCTTGAGAACAATTGTGTCTTGTTTTACATATACATATATTATTTAAGCTCTTGTTGTAATCAAGTGTGAATTTTATTAATGAAAATGTGCAAACCTTGTACAGTAAAACAATAATTTTTCATGAGAAATTTCAAATAAAAGTAATTTCATTAACAAGTATATGCATTTATAAATTTTTTCATTCAATAAAATTTAACTAAATACAATTCAAATAATTGAACATTCAAACATGCAATACATATTCTTATAGCGTTAAATTTATAATTATATAGCTTGAAAATTCTTATATTTTAAATATTATTATTATTTTTTAAACATATCTATATTGTATTTCAATTCAATTAGTACACCTTCTTATTTAGTAATTGTATAATTAAAAAACAATTGCCAGAAAAACAAAAAAATTTTCATCTTAACACTGAAAATAAATTTAACAACTAACTAAAACTTCCACGAATATCTCAATCTTAAGTTAAATTGCGCATACTATACAAAAATCAATTTTAAAATTTTTAGTGTGACCATATTTTTTTAATCGCCATGATGAAAAGGTTTAATTGACAGGAATACAAAAAAATTAAAGCACCTTGAAACTATGGGAAACTTTGTATTCATTTAAGGTTATTGAAATAAATTAATAAATTATAATATGTTTAATAGGTTAAACTTGATTTAAACCCTACACAAATTCAAAAAAAAACTTTGCCAATAGGGTGTGATAATTAACCCCATTGGCGCTACGTGCATCGGACTCGTGCACTTCTAGAGGTTCAGTAGAATTTTCTAAAACATAATATTAATATAAAATCAAATTAAATTTGAAACAAATATTATTTATCGCCGACAGTATATTAAAGTGTCTAGTGTTCTATCATAAACTTATAGATATTGAGCACTTAAGTATTCAGACGAGAGTATATATACATACAGATAGATAAAGAGAAGTGGGGGTCCGGATTTATTGGAATGTATATGTATGTGAATCTATAATTTGTGAAGTTATGGGGAATGTGTATAATTGTATAATATGAAAATATTTTATCAAATACTTAAAACAAATGACTTTTTGTAAAAATACTATATAGAGTATATACATATTTAAAAGTATACCTCAATATAACAGTATGTGTGACGTCGATTTTATACTATATAATACATATATCACTTTATTTGCATTTTTATTATTATTATAATTGAATTCGAGCAGTTTTTAAAAAAAAATAATATTATCGATTTAAATTTAGTATAAATTAGTTTTATTATAATTATGTAAGGTCGTTTTTCAATGTTTTTAAATTTTTAGGAAATAATCTAGAAGCAAATAGTAACAATTTTGATTGTATTAAATTATAATATTTTTGTATGATTTTATTTTTTGTGAATGTATTAAATTGCAATAAGTCTGCTGTTTAATAAAATTTCAATTAATGAAAATATAATTATTTGTATATTGGAAAACAATTTTTTTAATCTATTTTAAAAATTTAAGCACAGGCGAATAAAGGAAATTTTGTATTATTTTTAAAATTTATAAAATTTATGTATCTACATAATATATTGACATGCTATTTCAAATTTTTTACTTTCATTACTTTAATTTTTTGTCAATAGAGGTAGTTATCTATATTATTATTGTGTCTCTTATACTTTAACTATGTACATAATAAAATTTTTTGTAACACTCAGTTTTGACATAAAGTTGTTATCCTTCACTCAATACTGAATTAAAAAATCAAATATATTCAAAAAGGTAAAAGAGTAAAGAATATTAATTGAACGTATTTTAATCATAAAATTTTTAAAAAAAATATTTATAAACTTTTAAATAAATTATTTTTATTTTTAAATTGCACATTTACAATTAAAATTTAAATTTATTTTTTTTTGTTTCACTGTTCTTTTTTTTTAATTTTGTTTTTTTATATATTTATATAAATATTGTATATATACACTATTTTAATTTAATTATAGGTATAGTTGATCGTAACTAAAGAGTTAACGTACATACTTAAATATACTGAGAAGGGTAAATGAGTTGTTTTACTTGATTAAAGTTGATATTTACAATTTTATTTTTTTTCTCCGTTATTTTATATATACGCATGTACATGTGTGTATGCACATACACTTTTTTTTAATATTCTTACTTTCTTAATTATTTTCTTATTTTTAATTTTTACGTTCTTCTTAGGAGAATGATCGTTTATTAACTGATCAATTTTCATTAATTTTTGAGATAAAATATCTTAAATTTATAAAAGAAAAAGTATATAAAGGAAAAGTTTAGTTGAAAAATTTTATACATAAGTTAGGAAATTGTTGTTTTTTTTTTTTATTTTTACTATGCTTTTCTTGTCAACTTTAAGATCGGCTTATAATTTTTATTTATTTTTCATTTGTCGTCTAGCTAGTATGTAATATATTTTCTTTTTTAAACTTATTTCAACTTAGATCAATAAAATAATTTTGTTTTAGTTTTATATAGCTACACAATTTTAACAAAAATTTGTTAGATGTTACACACATATACGTTTGTATGAATACATATGTATATAAATTCTAAATTATAGTGTCTTTAAATGAAAACATTTGTAAATTAATAATTAAATTAACAATATAGAGCGAATTTCAATTACAGTATTTTTTATTAAAATAATTTTATATAAATAAATATTAATCTTTTCCGAAATCTCAAAAATAAATAATAAATTAAAGGCATGGTTTAATCGTCTTCAACTCGAATGCCAAAAGAGCATATACATATAGCTTAATTTCATTGAGTTTCTTTCCACTATCCCAACCTTTCCACGAAAGCTTCATGATTCTAAATGAAAGTTCAATTTATACAGGTTAAACTAAATATATTTATTAACGTTTTTTTTTATAATTTAAGCACTAATCTAATAATGTAAAGTCAAAGAAGCTTTAATGTAGGAGATTTAATAAATTATCAATTAATTATCTTGATTATCAGTAAATCTAATTTAATTCTAAATAAAAGTAAAAAAAAGAAGAAAAAGGAATATGCACATAACAGAAGGTAAATTATAGTAACTAGTCAGTAGTGAGTAGTAAGTAGTAAGTAATAAGTAGCAAGTAGTAAGTCGTAAGTTGTGAGTAATGAGTAATAAGTAGTAAGTATTAAGTAGGAAGAGATGAGAAGATATTCTCAATTCTCAATCTTTTTATTTTCTTTTAAAGGTAAAAATCCATTACTTAAGGTCTTATTTAGAACTTTTAAAAATTATATTAAAATTAAAAAAAGCTTTTAATTTAAAACAGTTTTAAATAAAAACCCATGCAGAATGCCGAACAGATAAATTGAAATTAAAAAGCAAATTTTTGCCAATTGTTTTAGGGAATATTCTAAAAAAATGTAGAATTGTAATCATTTATCTTATAAGCTTGTCTCAATAATTAAATTCTAAATTTGATTTACGTGAAAAGCAAAATTTTTTTCAGTTAAAAATTTAACCGAAATGTAATTTGTTTGAATTAAAATTTATTGTTTTAATTAATATTATATTAAAATTAATTTAAAATTAATTTAAAATTAAAAATAATGACCATAAACCAATGTTTTTATTGCAAGAAAGTCATCACAGAAAATATAAAACAAAAACAGGTTCATTAGGGTTTTTCTTTAAATACTTATATTTACCTATACTTACACTGATTACTGTAAATAGGAACCAACTTTTCTAATAAACAATAGTAGTTATTTGTAGCACATACATACATGAGGTACATTCATATATGCATGAACTTTTTTGAAAAATAGCTTTTGCATATTTAATTTTCATTGAAAGTTTTTATTCATAGAAAATGGAATGACTCCTCTAATCTCTTTTAGGTTGAATATTCTAATTTCAACATTTCTGTAACTAAAAATAGTTGAATGATATTTCTGGGAAAATCCTATATTTAATGACTTTTATTTATAAAACTAAAAAACTGAAATTACAAAAATGTTTAAATGCCTTTCATTAAATTATAACACTGTGAAATTATTGAATATTTATTTTGAATTATCAAATTTCATAGAAATATAAACAACAATATTAAATGGGAAATTTTTGCTTTAAATATTTACTGAAAGTACGCAAACACTCAAAAAAAGAACAAGAAATTTTCGAGAAAACCGATAATTATCATTATATCATAAAATCATATACTCTATACTTTTATTATTATTATTTTAAATATATTATTTATTTTGACGGTATTATAAGGTGATGAAATGATCATTTAATGATTCTTTTTATAATCAGAAATAATTGTTAAATTCACCTTTAAATTAGTTGCAATAAATCATCATTTATTTTTGAGCTAAAAAGCAAAAACAACCAACAATTTTTGTAATAGTATAATGTTGATTCCAAATATTTTACTGCATAATCTCAAACTTTCAGCTATAAAACATTATAAATAATTTATAATATTAAATAAAACAAAATTAAAATAATTTAATATTTATAATAAATTATAGTCTTTATTCTTATTGTACATATTTGTATTAATAATTTTTTAAAAATTACAAATATGTATGTTTAAAGATAATGTTTTAAAATAATATTTATAACGTTTGATTATTTTTGATCTTACAGTTTATTATGATCCGATTATATAATATTTTCGCATATACACATTAAATATTTGTAAATATCTAAAATTAAATAATTTACGAATTTTTAAATGTATACAGTTTCTAATTAATATTTATTTAAATAAAGAAAATTTTGTTTAATAATTAAAAGGTGTTTTTTTATTTAAAATACATTTAATTTTAAATTGGTAAAATTTAACCCGGATCTTTTACGGCAAGAAATAAGAATATTAAATGTATACATCATAGTAATTAAATTTTATTTATTATGTGAAAAACTATATATGAACTTAATAAATAAATTTTTCTGATAAATATTTAAATTCATAAAAATACCTAAATAGTTTTTTATATTATTTTTTGTATTTCGTTAAATACAAAATTTGCTAAATTTATGCAACATTTAACAATTTTTATAATGTAAATAATTTAACAAAATTTAATTGAATTTAATAGTTTTGAATAAATATATTTAATTTTATATAAAACTTAAAATATAATTATTATTGTCTAATAATACTTTTACTGTTCACAATAATTTTATTAAATTAATAAAAAAAAGAAAATTTATACTTTTTGTATTATGTTAATAGTCACGTTTATACAAATTTATTATAAAAAAATACTTATATATTATTTATATAAATATATCTATATATTTATATATATAATTTACTTTATGTATATATATAATTTTATATATTTTAAAGTTTGTTTCTATCTTATAAAGTTTTTTTTTATTTAGAAAAAAATTTATAAATTAAATTTTTCTTTTATTTCTGTATACAAATTATTAAACATTTTTATTGATAACATTTTTATTGAAAATACATAATTGATACATAAATTTTTAAGAAACTAATACCAAATCAAATTTATTTAGTAAAATTTTTGTAAAATTATTTTTTAAAATAATTTAATATTGCATTCTTTTCTATGGAAGCAAAAACCTTGAAACATAAATTACAAACATATAATAATAACTTACATAACTTTCGCTTTCAAATATACAGATTTTATAATCACTTTAAAATTATTTATATTATGTTTTAATATTTAAGTATATAATGCTTAAATCATAAATTTAAATAATTTTTTATATAATAAATATATTTTATGCAATTCGCATATATTTTATGTGCTTGTAATAAAATAAAAATACTGTAAATTGTATATATTTCGTTTGGGCTAATTTCAATAAGTAGTGAATAGTTTTTTACAATATATTAAATTAAGACACTAATTCATTATTATATATAATTAAACAAAATGTTAATTAATTTTTTAAAGTTTTAAAATAATTAAGTCAGTTTGTTACTTAAGTACTTGCTGATTAAAATAGTTTTTGATTTAAAAACAACTTCTAGATTCTAATTTATAATATTATCAACACGTTAAAAGTTATAAAACAAGATTTTATAGTAAAATGAAATTTTGTTGTAGTATTGACTATCTACCCAATATTAAAGTTTTCTTAAAATAAGAGTAGCATATCTGAAGATAAAATACTTGTTTTACATCTTTTACAAAAATTATATTTTTAATATTAAAGTTAATTTGAAACGTATGAAACGCAAGAAATGTATATGAAAGAAATAATATATTCTGTAAAATACAGACGTAAATTCAAACGAATTGGAGAGATAATAATGAAAGTTAGAAAATTTTTATTTCCATAAAATAAATTTCTTATTTGGTACTTTTTGCGAATTTAATTTTGAATTATATAATAATGTATTATAAAATATTTTGCGTCTACTGAGTTTCAAACATTAGAAAAGAAGTCATCCTCTTATACAATTTTTAATCTTAGCCTTATTCCTTTTAAATAACTTCTTTAAACTAATTTATTCCTTAATTTATTTGCTATTGAATTTGCCGATATGATGTATCTTTCTTTTAATTATTTTTCTTAAATACCAAGTTTATTCAATACCTGATAGAAGCCATTTTACTAATACAATATCAACAATAATAATAATAATAATATTAATAAAAGTAATAATAATAATAATCATAAAAATAATAATAATATATTAATGACTTTTCAAATGCCAGTTATGCTATTGTTAAGATACTCCTATAAAATATTAGATATTATTTTTAATACAAATAAATTTCTTTATTCTTTCTTCAACATGCATATCCATCTAATGGATATAAAATAAATATTATAATTGTAGTTTTGATTATTTATAATTTTAAATTACTTTAAAAAAAACAATTTCAAAATAGCTAATAATAATTCTGAAATATATCAATTTCAGAAGTTCTTTAAAATTTTGCTTCAACATTAAATTTTTAACATTGAATTATCTATTTAACTTTGTAATTTAATATAAGTTTATAAAAATCGTGTTATTTTAAAAAAACACAATATTCATTGTTAGAATTTATGAAAATTATAAAGTATATAGGTGATTTAAAATTTTTATATTTTCATTTTTTTATAAAATTTCATATTATAAATTAATATTAAAAAAAACACGACGGATAAATTTTATCGAAATTCTTTGAAAACTATTTGTGCATAGATAAAACAACTCATTTGTCATCATCAATATACTTGTACATAAAAGCATAAATAATTTCTGGTTTTTTTTTTTTTGCAAATTATAATATTTAAGATTTAAATAAATTATAAATATAAATTAAAATACAACTTTAGAACATTTTTTATAGTTATGAATTGTAAAATGATTTTTTCTTTCTATCTTTATGTATATATTTGAATATTATTACAATTATTAGAATTAACATTAATACAAATTTTATATTCCATAAATTTAAAAATTTTTCATATTTTATTAAGTTATAATTAATATTGCTATTATATTTTGCTTTTAAATCTAAATTAACAAATTTCTTATAATAGTTTTGTTAAAGAACATATACAAATGTCCAAAATAATGCATTAAAAACAATAAATGATATAGGAAACACAAAACGTGCTCTTTTATCTATCCATATTGCAATTTGTTGTGGTGTCATTGTTGTCCAACTTATATTATTATTATTGCCATTACCATCTAATGTTGAATTTGATATCATATTTTGATTAGATCGATTTAATGGTTCCATATTAATACTAATATGCCCATTATCTAAAAAGTCATCAGCTGATTCTGTGCGAATTATCGGTAAATTATTTTTACTTGGTACAGTTGGCATATTTTGAAAACTCTAAAAATAAGAATAAAATTTAATTGATAACCCATAAATGACACAGATAAAGAAAAAGATTTTTATATGTACTAACATGAACAGTTAAATAATTGTTATAGGCAGCGGTAGTACTACCACTTTTTCCAGATTTTACTGATCCTTGTCTGTCTAAACTAGTACATGATTGAGACTTTTGTAATCCCAATTCTTTTCTAGCAGCTCTTGGTGTTAAAGTTGATTTCAAAATATATTTTGAGTTTACTTTTTTTAATTCAACGTTTTTATGTCGCCTCCATATAGTATTAACAAAAGCGAATTCAACTAAAGTGCCAAAAATAAATCCTGTACATCCTAGGAACCATACTTCTGATACCTTAATATAACTAACTTTCGGTAAAGTTTTTCCTTGAGCAGATGCTAACGTTATAAATGTTAACATAGTGCTAGTACCTATACAAATAATAAATAGAAATTTAGTATTTTAATATCAGTTATGACAAAAATATAAAAAACCTAATGTAATTCTTGGAGCGGACTGATCTGCTTGTAACCAAAATGATACCCATGATATAGCAACAATCATCATTGATGGTAAAAAGTAATCCATTAAATAGAAACCCATTTCTCTAGCCAAATGCACGGTAAAACTCAAAGAACTGTAATTTCCAGCTACAATAATAGAACAATTTTTAATCATAATTATTTTATAGTCCTATACACAATTTTCGTACCAAAAGCTCCATGCCGTAAATCTGATAAATCAGCTATAATAGTCGTTTCATTATGATACATATTCATTAAAACATATTCAGTTAAATGTAGTTCTGGTGCTAATGTTATTGGAGATTTTTTTTCCCAATGTAATACTAGTTCACTTGTATTATACATCCAGCTTTCTAAATTTGTTGCACAATGTTGTTCATCAAATGGAAATTTACGTAAATTCATCCAACAATATAATGTTGCTTGAATTCGTATAGATAATATAACTGTACCATCACCAGATATTGATGTTAAAACATCTTTTTGATCAGTACCCAAAATACTTGAGTCACGTTCATTTGCAAAAAATATATGTGGTATCCATAAAGCCTGTCTAAGTGAAGCTTCTCCTAAAATTGGTTGATTTCGACTTGGTGCAATATCACTAAATGCAAGCCGCGGATCAACAAAACGCATTTGTAATAATGCATGAATTTTAAATTGTAAATCATGAGCCTCTAAACTTTGCATAAAATAAATGTATGCTCTTGCAAAAACATTCACAGGTAATCGTGTTTTATTTTCACCAGTACCCAAATATGCTATATAATAAATAAATAAAGAAAGAAAAGAATTATATAATTAAAATTTTTATTTCTATGGTTAATAAACTATAAACTATAATAAATTATAAATAACTAATTATTATAAAATTAAAATATCAAGAAGGTATACAAAGAAAATTTAATTGTTAAGTTAATGTGAAAATAAATAAATATTCCGTATAAATATTATTTTTTTTCCATGATTAGTCTAAATAAATAAATTTACTCAAGTGTTACTAACTCATTCGTTACAGTTTAAGTTCTTCAATTAAAAAACTCTATTTTTTTACGTATATTACAAAATGACTTATCGATTTCTATAATATTATTTTTCAAAATCATAAATGATACACACACATAATACTGAAGACGTTTTCATAAAAGTAAAGCAATTGATTTTGATTGTATTGATACATTAAAATTATTTGATTATTTTTAATATTGTCATACAAATTATATCAGTATGTATATTTATACATATACATATATATGCATATAAAATATTTGCGATATATAATAATGTACAAACAAGTACATTTTACTATTGTGTAAAGTAGACAGAAATTATGATGAAAAATTATTAGTTATTTGAACATCTTATATTATGATCTTATCTTATACGGGAACGATAAAATATGCTATAATAGTTTTTGAAATTTAGATACTTAAAATGTTAAAATTATAAAATTTCCTATTATAAGACGAACGATGTTAAAATAAATTATGTTTTAATTTCGATAACGAAATTAAAATAAATTATGTTTTAAGTTTTCGACAGTAAGTCGTTTTACTGACAGATAGTTTTTCTTTTTTGAAGAAAGTTATTATTATTACCCATGTATAAACATTTTGCCGAATTTTGAGAATTCGAAATTCAAATGGTTTGGAAATTATTTAAAGTTCAACTTTAACTAATACCGTAACGTCTAACCCTTTCTGAATTACAATTGTTTATTAACTAGTTTTACATACACAAAATTAAAAACAACTATGTTCATGGCCATGCATTTAATTTAAGTTATAAATCAAATAAATAAAAATTTTGAAATATTTTAAATAACTCATTTATAAATAATACAATATATGTAATATGAATACTTGAAAACTTAAAAAGAATTTTGTTGAAATTTTATTTATTAATAATATAAACTACTACTTGGAATTCTTATGTGGTGTCATTTAATATAATAATTTTTTTTTTAGAATTTTAGAATACTCTTGATTCATTGCTTGGAAAAAATTGTGCAAATTGAGTTATTAAATCGTTTTCTCTTGCAACGAATTGAAAAATGTTAATTAATATAAAAAAAATTTTTAATGCAATGTTGTATTTTGTAATTCAATTTTAATTTTTCTTTTTTAAATTTGATTTTACACTTTGAATGTATTTTTCACAATAAACAAGAGTTCATCCAATAAATATGATAAAAATATAATGTAATATCTTACTTATTGGTCTTTCCAGACGATCATATCTGCAACCATGTGTAAGCCTTTCAATCAATTGTGTCTAATATTGAAATATAAGTATTTAAGAAGATTTGTTAATCAATATTATTTACTTAATATTATTGCTAATGATTTACCTGTGACAATGAATCAGCATTTTCAAGCGATGGACAATCCGCAGTTCTAAAATATATTTTTAAAAAAATAATATTAAAATTTTTTATTAAAACCAAATCAATCACTAATTGACAATATAAATTGAACATGTAATATATTTTACTGCTTATATGTCAATAATTCGAAATAATTAAACTTTAAAATTAATTTTTGGTACTTAATTTAATAATGTATTTATGTGTATGTTTATAGATAAAAACTAATACAGCATAAAGGGCATCCCTTAATTACAAAATTGATTATTTTTGCATGTAGAATCAAAAGTATAATAATATATACATACATATTAAAAAACAAAAATTTCTGTGTTTATATTAACTTTTCTAAAACAGATGCTATAAGGTTAAACAGAAAAGATTTTTTTTTTCAATCCTAACTTCAATAAATTATAAAATTAAATTTGTTATAAAAATACAAACGTTTAAACTACATGATATTTTTCTAGAAATTATTTTTAATTTATGAATAAAATCAAATTGGTATGTAAATTTGGCAACAAATAAACCATTACAGTTTTGAAAATAAGAAAACTTAACAATATTGCAACGAAATCCGTCTTTCCTTTAACAGGGAGGCTAGGTGTCGGGGTCTGATTCTTGATTCAAAGTTGGATTGCAGGTCTAACATTATAGAAAGAGTAAGGAAAGTCGAGTGACCTAAAACCAAACGTAATTTATAGGCTGTACACCGCAGTGGTGAGGACGGTCCTCATGTACGGTTTGTTAGTGTGGTGGCTCACGCTGTACAGCTGCGAACCTCAAATGCAAAGCAGGGCAATGATGTGTTTGTTGGGAGTTGCACTCCACCTAAAGTTTAATCTGAGCAGTTGGGGGTTGAGCTCTTCTTCCGTTTACCTGATCACTACAGTGTCCTTCAGGCGGACTGGTTTGGCGATAAAGTGATTTGTGTTGACAGTGTTAGCCCTAAAAAAACTCACCTAACATGAAAATATTATTTTGAGACTTTTTCAACTATCCTTTTCGGATCTTGTTAACAGTTACGCTAACAGAAATAGTAATAATATATATATATATATATATATATATATACATATATCTATACCGCATTTTCAAAAAACAATTAAATTAAAATATTTTATTTTGAAATTGAAATATGTGTATTAAGGACTATTTATCTGCTAAAATTATATCAATAAATAAAATTTTAGGTAAAAAAAGGTAATAACTTTTTTTTACCAATAACCATAACATTATTGTGTATACAACTGTACAAAGTTTTTGTAATAAGTACCACTATATTCCATTGAAATATTTTATTTTGTAATAAAAAATTTACAATAAAATTTTAATGAATAGCATAAATTAAAACTAACAATGATCATACACGTACCTATAATAATTTTAGAACTCAGTGAATATTTTAATTTAGAAATCTCTTAACTTTTAAAAATAAAATATTTATCTTAATAATATGGACATTAAAAACAGTTTTTTTTCAATTAATTCAAATGATTTTTAATTTTTATAAAAAAAAGATTTGTCTTCTTCTTAAACTTGCACACGTTCTAAAGTATTGAACGTATAAATTGCACTATGTGTCATTTAGTATTTTAGTTGAAATTTATGCATACACATATACGTACTATTAAAATTATTTAAAAAAATATTATTTTAAACTAAAGTACCATTAAAATTATTTTTAACTAAACTAGCAGAAGTTTATTGTTTAATTAATTTATGACGTTTTTATTTTGTTGGATTTTTATATAACATTTAAACTTTTTTTGTTGTCAGAGTTTTGCATTGTTCAATTTTTTTTTAGCTAAATTTAATATTTATTTAATATATAAAAGTATACATAAATTGAGAATAAACTCTGCGAAAGAATTACTTAAATAAAGTAAAAATAAAAATATAATAAATTTCAGATTTGAAAAATTTAAAAAAAAATGCAAAATATTAAAATTTTTAATTTTTCAATATTTCGAAATCAGAATCGTTTGTAATGCTTTTTACCTGGAAATGGGCAAATTGTTTTTTATTTGTTATATACACACAGGAATCAATTACGGCTTATCTAAAATTTTGCAGTTTACTTCTAAATGGCCTATGTATACATACTTGGAACATAATGGACGTGTGAATCCGTTAAATTAAGCTAGTAATATGCTTGAAACTAATCATAATTGCTTTACTAAACATGCAACATAAAACATAAAATGTTCATAAAAGAGTGTAGCGTTATATAATTGCCTTAAAAAAGAGTTTATGTATATTTTCATAAAAAATTTCAAAAAAAAAAATTATCATATCTGAGATATGATAATTTTTATAATTTGATCGGCTGACGTTTTAGCCGATCAAATATTGAAAATGAAATCTAAATTGTACGCTGCTGTTGACCATAATATTTTGGCTATCATAGAAAAATTTTAATTTATCTTATATTTTATGTATCATATTTTATATCTTAAAATATATACATAAATATTTTACAAAAATTCTAAATGATTTCAGCTTTAGTACTTGACTTTCATATCGAGAATTATATTAAAAGATCTGATACTTATAAAGAACATGATCGACCGAACATTGCACATTTCCAAAATAATATTGATATATGGAATAATAACATAGGTGTAAAATAAGGCCCTAGCAAAAACTTTACAACTAAATTTCTTTGAAGCAGTTGAAATGCATTTGGATTAGAAACTCGACGTGTGAAATTTTGTGCGAACGCAATATCTTCCTCATTAGAATATTTTCACTTTTTGAAGGGAAACGTGCTTAATTACAAACCATTGGTTTGACCCTACCTTATTTCTTCAACAAACTTTCTTAAACTTTTCTTATAACAACCTACGCAGTTTTTTTTTGTTGCAATTTCAACTTTAACCTTTATATACCTTCTACTTATTTTTGTCTTTCTTTTAATAATTTATGTTATTTTCATTTTATAAAAGACATGTGACAATAACTCTCGTGCAGTCATTAGAAATCACACGTGCACACATATAAATTAATATATAGTTTAGGATAAAAAGTTCAATTAATAGTTAATTAAAATAAAAATTCTTGAAAATGCATAGATGAAGTAGAAGATAGAATTTTTATGTCAAAACTATTGTTACTTTTTATATTTACTTAGTTGGGTTACTAAAAATATTGAACTAAGAAAATATGAAATTAAAAAAAACTTACTTAATAACGGTAATTTGTTTATCATCATTAATAGCATCCTTATGTCCAATATTTGGTGTAACATTTGACGGTGGTATTAAGAGATCTTCGGCAACTGTTGTAGATGTGCTTTTACTTTTGATAACAACAATTGTTGTGTCACTACCTGAATCTGCTGTAGTACTTGTTGAATTATTTGTTGTTGTTATAGGAATTTCAATAGTAGTTGTAGTTTTTGATTGTGTTTGTGATTCTATTGCAGATGTTGAAGATAATATCGATGGTGTTAATTTTGTTGTATTAATTGTAGTATCAGTACTTGTTTCAACATTATCAGTATTGTTATTTAACATTAAATTGCTAGTTGTAATTGCCGGTAATGGTGTTGTTGTTGCCGATATTATAGGTTTCGTTGTTTTTTTAATTATTGTTTCATTTAAATTAATATTATCACTATTTATACTGTTGTTGTTGGATGTTGTTGAAGGTGTAGAAAATTCTGTACCATTTATTTCAATATTCGTTGTAAAATTTTGTTCTGGCGCTGTTGAACTTGAAGTTGGTTGTTTACTGTTTTGTATTAGGATTACATCACCATTAGTTAAATTAATTATTAATTCTAGTATAAATATTAGATATTTAAAATTTGACCCCATTTTTTTTTCGCTAACTGCTAGATAATATTTTATGATTTCTTTTTATTTTCTTTTTATTCACTTTTTTAATCTAATTATTATAAAATTTTTAATATTAATATTAATATTTTTCACGGGTTGGGTTGCTTTTCGATTTTCTTGCTTTTTTTTTGTTTATCATTAATTAGGAATATGGGTTTAATTTTAAACTTTTAATTAAAAAATAATCATAAATACAAATAATCTAAATATGGAATATTTATTCTTTGTTTGTTAATATTTTCATAACAAATTGCTTTTTTTGTTAAATATTTGACATTATTTTAGCTGAAGATTAAAAAATAATCTTAAAATTGGCGAACTCATAATAGTTGTTCTTGTTTACAAATCTTTTCTCCTCTTTGAATCTAAAAATATAAAATTTTAATAAAGAAAAATTTAATTAAGATAAATTAAAATTTTTGCCAGAATTAAATTAAATTTAAAAAAAATTCATCATGTTAATTATTTTTTGCTCATCTTCATATATGTAAATAATACACGAAACATATCGGTGTATGTATGTATGTAATTATCATGGTTATTCTAAAATTATTTCACTATATAACTGTTAAATTTCGAAATAAAAAGAAAATAAACTTAACTGGTTTTTAGAAAAAAAAAAATTTCGAATTTTTTTCAAAATTAAATGGTTCAAAAAGTTACATGTTAATGCAGTTTAAATGAAAACCTAATTGTAAACTTATGCATACATCAGATGGTAATTTTATGCACAAATAAGTCATACTCTTACAGTTTTTTTTGCATATAATTAGGCGGCGACAAAAAGTATTTTTTCACATTTTTCATAAAAAAAAATGTGCAATCAATAATTTTCATTTTCAATTTGTAATTGATATTCTTATATTTTATAGATTAAGTGGTTTATAACGATTACAATCAATCTATGTACATTATGGAGTTATATACATACATACATATAAGTATATGTCTCCATAATTTGCTTTAAAGCTCAGGCGTGTTAAATTTATTTGTGTATGCTTATGACTATTAATTTGAAGTTAACATAATTATCATACTTAGCCTTCTGACATATGTACATATTTGTATAAAAGTCAAGAAACTTACATAAATATGTAGATGTGTTTTGTAAATTGTAACCTTTCTTTAGACGAACTCCTTTAGACAAGTTATGACTTTCTTCTAACTTCTCAAATTAAAGGCACAAAACTAATAACACTTTGGTGATTATTTCTCCAATTTTATATCTTAGTGAAGATTTGTAAATAAATGTATACATATTTCACATAAAAATAACTCAAAAATATATGTATGTATGTCTTATCTATTTTCGTATTTCCATGCTTTCAAAAGTTAGAAAAGCAAAGAAAATTTCTTCTATCCTCTGTTTCTTTCTAACTATTTTTTATTACTTTACTTTTCTAGTCTTTTTCTATACAAAATTTGATTGTGGTTTTCGCTATTACTTATAATGTGTCAATTACCAATATAACAATTAACATTTTTATCTCGTTTATTTCAAGAAGTTGGATTGGATTGGAATACAAGAAAAGCTCAGAATTCGTATATCATTACCAGTTTTGGAGAGGTATAAATATAATAGGTCTTTCTGGTATAAAACTTGAAAAATCTTTAAAAAGGGAAAAATGTTGCGTTACTTGTCGCAAAGAGGAAAGAAATTTCATTTAAAAAAATACATAAATCAGACGGAAAAGATGAAAAACCTTTCAACAACTTCTTAGTAATACAAATACAATTTTTCAGTTATACAAAAAAAAGCAAAAATTTTGATTTTGAATTATAAAAGTGTGGAATTTGGAAAAAAACAAATATTTCGTTGGAATTTTAACCAGTAAAAAATTTATTGTTGATGAAAAAAGTTTGTTGAAACATAAGCCTTCTGACATAACCGAAAAAAACATATGTTTTGACAACTTTATAAATTCAAAAATCAAAAGTTTTTGAAATACTAAATCTTACTTCATAAAACTTTAAAAAACTTTAAAAATTGAGAAAATGCTGACTTCATCATTTTCTGTCATTTTTTCTCATTTCTTTTTCTTTTTCATACTAAAATTTTGTTAAGTTTTTTCAAGTTTTATAAAGTTTTTAAAAACTTATACCAGACAGTTCTTATATGTGTATTTACATATGTTGGAGTTGATTCTTATGGTGTACAATAATTCGAAAACTTTAAAGCTACGTTCATAATTTACAACTAAACTTAATTATGGTGTTTTTTGAAAAATTTAAGCAGATGGTAACTCTCAATGTTGCAAGTTAAAAGAAACTATTTTAGTTATACATTTGTGCATATACTTGCTGGCTATTTTCAAGGTTCATTCAATTTTACATTAAAATTCAGCTCATTTTATTTCTGAAAAGCATTAAATATAGTTGTAAATTAAATGTTCTTAATCACAGTGATTAAGTGTAAAGTTGTGAAAAATTAGTTTTGAATATTTGTAGTAATGGAGGGCAACAGATTATCAAGTAACAGTTCTGATGAGTCCCAATATGATGAAAATATTATAAATTACTTAATTAATTATCGAAACCGAGAAAATGCTTCAGAATATTGTAAAAATTTGGACGTAGATACAGATGAAGCATTATGCGCGGATTTCATAAGTTATTTACAAAAACAAATTTTCAATGAAAATGGCGCGAATTCTAAAAATTGTTGGGATTGCGGGCAATCGCATTTGGTTAGAAAATTAAATGAAGAAAAAATGGTAAATAGAAAAAATTAAAAAAAAGTACAATGCAAGAAAAGTTAAATACAAAAAATATATTATGCAAGTACCAACATATGTATATATGTATGTACATATAATATTTCCTTTCTTTGTGTATAGATGTTAGAAGAAAAAAATGCCTCTTTAGGCGAAGTTGAGTCATTAGACTTAAAATATGCAACCAATGAAAGATTACTTGAAGAAATTGATAATGTTTTGACTAACTCAACTTCTAAAGCGATTTTTTTGAAACCCCAAAGTTCATCCTCACCAAAACCTACTGCAATGAGCGAAAAGAATTTCCACTCGAATATCAAGGCTAAAAATACTATAAACAGCTTTGAATTTAGCAATGATTCACTTGGATATCACACATTTAAGTCAAACATGGCATCAAAATATGAAAACAAATTGATTACTGATACTGATTTAAATGCTGAAAGCTCAAATGATTCTCCTCTTGTAATATCAATATCTGATGATGATATTGTTTTTGAAGAAACTGAAAACTTAGATACAAATCTAAATCCCTTTCAACCGAAAGAATTAAATAAAAAATGTCAGGGTAAAGTTAGCTCGGCAAAGAAAAGAAACAAGCCAAACAGAAAACAAAGGAGGGCAAGAAGAAAACTACGTGAGCAAGAACAACAAAAAATAGATAATCAACCAGATATTGAACAAAATTTACAATCAGAAAAGCGCTTAAAGCTTAACGCCCAGGGTCGTTCTGTCGGTATAAATATTCAAAATATTAGTTTAGTGTATGAAAAACGAAAGAACCAACCGCTTAAGTACAAACCAATAAAATTCGTTTCGGGGGGAATGTTAAAATTTAGTACAAACAGTAACTTTATAGCTGTTGAGGAACAACTAAAAATGCATGAAACTAACTTAGAAAACATTGAAGAATGCAAAATTAAAAATATACTCAAAGGTCCAGGCGGCCAGATAATGTTAAAAATGGGTTATGAATTAAGAAAAGGATTAGGGAAATATTCACAAGGTAAGAATACAATAGATAAAATTTAAATAAAATAGAATTTAATGTTAACAAAACTTGTGGAACAGGCATTCTTCAACCTATTGAAGCTCACATTAGAAAGGGTCGTGGAAGTATAGGTTCATATGGTAGTGAAATGTTATTACCAACGTCAGTAAAAGTTCAAGAATTGCAGTACAAAATTTTGAAATCTTTGTATATAACTGATTTGCAACCGAATAAAAATGATTCACATTTTCAACCAGGAATCTATAGCAATGTGTTTTTTGATTATTCAACCCTGCCAGATCCTTTTGATTCGCAAATAGAAAATAATTATGAATATCATAATTTTAATTTTTCACAGAATTTCTTTATAAATTTAGATTCCAGTATTACATATAGCAAATCGAAAAGTAACATAATTTTGAGCAATAATTCCAATACTTTTACTGGAATTGAAAATTTTGGAATCAATAACGGCGAAAATTCCCGCAAGCTGTTGAAAGCAAAAAGAAGAATTAAAGTGCAGAATAATCCACTTCAGTTGGTTGTAACTACCTCATCTGGTCGCTTTAACTTTGAGCAATTTCAAAAGCTTAAAGAAAATTTAAATACGATTACAATTAACGCTGCATTATTACATGGTATAAGTTTACAATTTGAAGATATTTTCATGGAAGAAGGTTACATGAAAATAAATTGTAGCAATGAGAGTACGCATTACTGGATTGAAAACTTAATTAGAAATTCAGCATACGGGCAATTTATACCTAATATAAAATTACTCACTAAATTTTATGTTCATTTTGATTCAATTATATCATCAGGATATAAAATGGAAATTTTTATACCTGGAAAAAGTCTCAAAACAGCCGATTATCTTAAATTATTAGAAATTCAAAATCCTGGATTACTAACACGGGAATGGAAAATTTATAAAAGAAATGAAATAAAAAATGGTGTTGAGTTGATTATTGAAATTAATGAAAAATCTTTAAATACATTACAAAATGTTTATGAATTTCGTCCTTATCTATTTTTGAACCGAATCCAATTTCATATGATTAAAGATATTTAAATTCATATTTATAAAATTATGCGTATAATATAATGCATAAGTAATATTACTTTAGTAATTTTTTTATATTTTTTGTGTCGTTTAAGCATATTTTGTTCAATTTATACAATATTATATTTTATTTCATTTTTTTTAAGTTTATGTATATAATTTAAAATGAATGAATTTAGAAAAGTATTTATATTTTACAATTAACCATAGTATTAAAATGTGTATCTCATATTAGTTATATATATTTCATATCAGTCTTAAAGCTGCCTTTATTCTTAAATAAATTATTGCTTTTAAAACAAAATTTTGGTGATTCGCAACGAAATTATGTACATACATGCATACATATACATATGATATAAAATAAATTGTGCTTATAAAATTTCAATATGTGGCAAAGATTATTTTTTTAATAAACTAATATTCTAATATTTTTATAAAAGCTATTTATATGCGAAATGTATACGGTTTTAAATAAATTGTTTTTTAATATTTTTTAATACATGTATGTATGTACATACATATTAAAGTCACTAATATTTTCGGAATTCATACTTTTTGTTATCAATATCATTCTCCTTCTTAAACAATACACATTTATGTTACTAGTTATAAAAATTATGTGTGATAATTTTAATGAAACAAGTTGTTGTATGCAATTGTAATCAATAGATTTTTTCATTTCAATCATCATTTTTAAGGAATCATCATTAAAATCAAGAAAGAAGACCTCCATCGAATTCTTTGCAATTTTACATAAATGTAAACGATTCTTCCTTATTTCGGATATAAAATTCCGCCTAATATTTAATATATAAAAAACATATGTACACATATAAGTACGTACGGCCTTATATTGTATTTAATTATAAGCAAGGAAGTAAAAATATTTTTTAACTATTGTAATTACATACTTGCACATTGTGTATATTATGTACTTGCATTGCACTCATAAACAAAACATGTAGTAATAAAGCTTTAGATTTTTTTTTGTTAATTAATTATTTATTCAAAAAGCATATTTTCAATATTTTTAGGTGTTCATTTCAAAATGATATTTCAATAATAAAATTAATTATAGTTTCCAAATTTTACAAGTAATATTTACATACCTTATACGTTTTATGTAAAAATATTTAAATTATATATTTTTATTATTCGTAAATTATATATCTCAATAATATTCTTTAGGAGGTTTTAAAATCCAAAAATTTAAATAAAGAAGATTTTAATCTTTTCCTAATAATATTTTGGATTATACAAAATTAAATCCTGTTTATTTTATTTAAAAAATTTAAAAAAATTGTGTTGTAAAAATTTGCAGAAAAGAAAAACATTTTTTTAAATAATATTTTTTTGCATTAAAATGTTTTATATTTTTATTTTGTAAACCTTGAAAATTTTTAAGTTGAATAATATTCATATATATGTTGCAAAGTATTATAAAAAATCGGATTTGCCATAAATAATAGAAATAAAGCATAACCTGAATTATAATTGAAATATTTGATAAACTTAATTTGTTGTATGTAACTTATTTTTAATTTATAATAATTTTTAATTATTATTTGAGTTCGTTAAAGAATTAATATTTTTTAAATTTTTGAATCACATTTTAAACAACATACATATTTTATTTGCTAATTCAAAAATATTTTGTTATCAGTAATTTTTGAATTTTAAGAGCATGTAATATTTCAGTATAAAACACTATAATAAAACAATATATTTCTTTAGAATAGATTTAACACTGTATAAGAATTTCGTGTTGGTGTTTAGCCTTTTAGTTCATTTGAATCATTTATTTTATAAACTTTTGTAGGTATTTCGAAAATAAAAAGGGAATAAATACACAAATCATGTCTTTAACAAGAAATAATGCCAATTAATTATTAATTAATTATTTTTACGGATATAAGCAGTTTAATAGACTTTGAAAATGATGAAGATATTACATACAAATTTTAAAAAAGAAATAAATTGGAAGCTCTTGCTTAAATTTTTATACATTTTTAATTATTACATTTATGCATATATTTAGCGTACTTAAATCACCAGTTGAATAAAATTTTAAAATTTTCAAATTAAGTTCAATTAGTTTTCTATAATAATTTAACGATCAGTAATAGCAATAAATATTTGATAATGTTATTGAATTGAGAAACAAATAACAAAATTATCTAGCAAAAGTGTATGATTTTCAAAGTCGTATTCGAAAATTCATTTTGAAATATAAGAGTTTAAATAATAAGATATGAGAAATTTTTGAATTGTTTTCAAATATAAGGATGAGTTCGATAATGCAGTTTGCATTTCAATTTCAATAACAAAAATTTTTCTCAGCAAAAACTTACACCACTGTAAATAATGATTATAAGAAAATATTACACATTTTGAAAATTTTAAAGATATATTTTGATTTATATCATTTTCAAAACAAATTTAAAGTTTTTTATTATCTATCACTATAATATAAGTACTATCATGATTAACTTTAAAAAAAAGCTAGTTATGAATGATTTGCTCTATTTTTATTAAAATAAAATTATTCGATATTACAATAATGTTATTTTGAGTAATATAATGTGAAAATTTTATTATTTTGTTTTAAATTTTGCCCACAGTATGTGTATATAAAGAAAGAATGATACGTTTTAAGTACAACTAATATGAGTTAGTAATATATGAAACCGCCATACCACCAATATTTTCGTCAGTGGCTTTTTAAATTTGTGTTTTCAATGTTAAAAAAATTAGCATTTTCATATTTTTATATTTAAATTAATATGATTTTATTTTTTTATTTAGTTTTAGAATACTTAGTTTACCTTATTATTTATATGAAAATGTGTACACATTTTTTTAATTGATAATATATTTTAAGAAGTAATTATGAATATTAATAATTATGAAATTTTCTCCGAAAATCCTATTAAGGTCGGTGAACTCACTTAACATGACTACTATAGGAATTGTTTACAACAGCTGTTTATTTGGTCAAATTATATAACTTAAACAAATACTTATATTAAAGATAAGTGAAAAAAAATTTAGTCCATGAAATACATATAGCCCAAATTAATTGCAATTCAAAATTTAATCTGTGCATTTTTCATTTTTTTCCTTAATTAACAATAATACAGATTTTGCAATGACAACTCTTTAAAAATTCATAATCGATTAAATTTTAAAAAGTGTAAGGCACTCGAAGTGATTTATGAATTGTATGTACATAGTATGGTGGTCAAGTATTTATTACCCTTTTATTTATTGAGCAAACAGTTTTGGAAAACTTTCACAATGTAAAATGCTCCTTCAAATTTCAATTGGCATTTAATATAAGAAAAAAAAACTATTTGATAATGCCGCATAAATTAATGTGGAAGGCATAAAATATATTAAAAGAGTTTTTGTAAATTTTGTTATCTTCACAATTTTTAGCAAATTATAGTACAGAGTAATTAACTGTATGATAGAAAATATGAAAAGAGAATATTAAAAAAGTTTATTTAAAATTCTTATTTATACTATAAATCAGGGGCCGTATTGCACCAACCGCTTTCACTTTTTAACTTCTTTGCTTTTTTATTAGTACATTTCATTTTGTGTTGAATCTTGATTATAAAAAAGTAAAAAGTGGTTGGTGCAACAGAGCCAGTTCCTAGTTATTTTTTTTTGCTATATAAATTATAATTCTTTGTAAATTTTTTGATGAATATTTTTTTAGTTTAAATTAAAATAATTGCTATTAAAATTTGAATTTCTATCTAACACCAACTTTCCATGACTTATAATATTTAGATTATTATCCTAAAAAAAAAACAATTTGATAATTTAATGAATTAATATTTTGATTAAAATTTTTATAATACAGCTAAACAATAATTAATTTTAAATTGTAATAAAAGTAATAATATTAAACTTACCACAATTATAAAAAAATTCATAATCCTTTTTTTCAATTGTAATTAGTATAATAGTTATTTTAAATTAAATTTATTAATATTATTAATTAATTAAAACTTGTACAACAAATTTAGTTTAACAATCGAATAAGTTATACGTCACCATTAAACGGTTATAAATGTGAGATATTTTGTGAAAGGCAAAACTTTTTTAAATATTAAAAGTAATTAAATTCAGCAAAATTTAATTTTTATATTAAACCACAGAGTATCATTAAATGATATTAAAAAATAAGATAAAGAATTTATTTTTTTTTACTTTTTTAATTAATTAATTTTAATTTTTTTTGTTTTTCTTAAGAACAACTTTATTTTAATTATAATTTTGATAAAACACAAAATATGTTGTGGGTATTTTTTTTAAAGCTTTATGATAGCCGAAGGTAAACACACAAATTATCAACGATCAAAAATTCTTCCAAAAAAGAAAATTATTATTTTTATTTTTTTCATCGAGGGAAAATATTTAACATTATTCTATCTTTTTCTTTTGCTTTCTTTTTATATTTAGCAGTTTAGAGCTATAATATTGTTCTATAATATAGTTCGTAAAGAAGGCGCGTGTTCTGTTCGATTGAACAACAGGTTGGAAACTGAATTTGTTAATTTAGTGTCACATACTTAATAAAGTTAAAATAATAAAAAAACAATTTATAGTTTTAAGCTTTTTTCGTGTTCTGTTCCAATTTTTTTTTTCATTTTTTGCTTCTTTTAATTATTTCTATTTTGTTTGTTCTTTATTTTTTTTTATATTTTGTCACCTGTATACACAATCTTAATTTGAACAGATATATGTATAAACATACAAAACAAAAATATTATTGTACAGTAAAAACGAGCAATAAGGATGGTTTTTAATTGTATTGTAGTAGGTATGAATATTATGCAAATTCTCCATATTTGTATGCGTATATCAGTAATTATGCATTTTAACTAACTATACAAATATTAGAATTTGTAAAATATTTTACTGTGCGATCGTATTGCGTAAATATAATTTACAAATACATACATATATTTCTGTAAAGAAATGAATAATTTTTA